GAAGTGCAATGATAATCCTATTCCACTAATTCCTTCATACCGAAATCGTAAACTGTTTCTCTCTCTCTCTCTTTCTCTTTCTGTATAAATGCAGGACGAGATGTAATGGTTGATTAAGCGTGACATTTGTACACAACAAATCGATCATCAGCTTGCTAAATACTAGAATTAACAATTGTGATCTTATTAATTAACAGTGGCGGTACGTGATTGCGAATTTAACTCTACTATCAAATGAAATACCGTTCATTATTATTAACATGTTAAATCGTCAATGTAATAACGCAATTTTCTATGAATATTCCATATTTTCCATTTATTTTACATACGCTGCAGTTTCTTACCGAACTGCGTAATATCGAGAATTAAATGGCAACTTTTCTCGACATCTGCCCATAAGGATTTTTGTCTCAGATTTAGAAGAATCTGCCTCTTTGATGTTTCGCACCATGTAAATTATTCTGTAGTGCGGAAGAAAAGAGCTTTTATTACATTCTTTTATCGTTTCATACATAACATATTCCGCACACATCAATTCTACCGTCATCTGCACCTCGTATCTCCTTATTCCGCTCTACAGGCACCTTTGATTCCGCAGACGCGTATTAAAATATTGAAACGTCTCGGCGTTGCAAATAAATGATTAGTTTGTCCAAGAGGCGAAGATAAATAATAAATCGCGCAAGAGACACGCGAAAAGAGCCTCATACATTATGTATCGACGCTGTATAATATGACGATGCGAGTTCGCCGAATTGGAATTTCGTTGCATCGCAACGGAGATTCATCATTATCGGGGAAAATGTGTATTATAACATTTTATTATTTCGTTGTTTCGTTAATTTGAATTATTAAAACAAAACGGCCGCGGGACCCAATAAAATTTTGCGCGGTCGCGCGTATTTCATAAGATGAAAAAATTTCCGGCCCCGCGGGCAGAATCGTTCGCGGTATCATCGTATTCAATTAAACACGGATCGATCGGCTTATTTCCAACGATTCGAATCCGAAAGACCGCTCGTCCCTTCTCTCCGAGAGTATTCCATTTCCGCCGCGGTAATTAATTTATATTAATCAAGCCGTATAAAATTCCGTCCATTATATCTATCGTCTCGCGCGTCCACTCAGCGCAATTCACGGCTTTTGAAACTTTTTAATCGCTTTCCGCAAGTTTTCTCTCATTCCGATAACGCTGTTCTTTCCCCGCCGGACTCTGCCGTCTCGCAATAATATAACTTTATCCACGCATTCGTGGGAAACGGCACTCTTGATTGTGAAATCGCCGCGCATCTCAGCAGCTTGGATAATTTTTTTATTATATCTTTTTTTACGCTTCGCTCTTTCAACATTTGAGCCGCGAAAATGCGAATATTCGAACGCGATATATTTTGGACTATTTAAAAAATTCATTTACGAGATATTTGATTATATATTGCGTTAAAACAGGTCTTACTTTTTTTTTTGTTTATTTTTTTCAGCAATTTCCTTTAATTTTATTACATTTTTGTCATATATCTCTAATATATAAAATCTTCCTTCTCCATTATTATATTCGTCATTTGTAAGTCTACTTATTGCCGAAGAATTTATGTATACATTACATTAGTTGAGTAATGGCATCGTTAGTAAACTTTTGAGAAGTTAAACATACAATAAAACTCTCGTATATTTTTCAAATTGCTCGAAATTGCAATCTCGAAATTGCGATATTGTAAGGCGCGCCTATTGAATTACTAATTAAATGTTAATTCTGAAATTATGGAATAGCGATTTCGGACTTTCAACGAAAATTCAACATTGCGTCTGGGGATAATAAAGGCGGAACATCTAAAAAGTTTCGCGGGAATCTAATTATTTGGGACGAACCCGCAGTAAACACGAAGTACTTCAAGTACTCCATGCCACTAACACGGTACGTGTATCGCACGTTGAAAAACGGGACAATACGGATCACGGGAGTAATTAGGATCAGTATACCGGGAGTAGTTTACTTGTTAAGAAAAACCGAAAGTTCTGCATTGAAATAAAATAACGGGGGAATAGTACAAAAACACTTCACGTCATTGGCAAGCAACGAGAAGCGCAAAATTGTAGCTTGATGAGGAAGTTAAGAACAGCAAGTGGAAGTAAAAAAGTCAGCGATAAATCAACGATCTCTCGTGCTCGTATTATCGTTCATCATTCTGCGACGGATTCTGGATATTCAAATTAAATTGAAAGTGATAAATTGCGCGTGATAAAATGATATTTAATAGAGGTAATAATGTAATAAATAACGTGCGGGACTTTAATCTAAAATTTCGCTGCTGAAAAAGATAAGCATAAATATATAATTGCCGCTGCATAATTCTATAAAATCTCGAGATTTATAGGAACGTATAGGTCAAAATGCATTCTGGATGGAGAAAAGCTCATTATATAGCAGTGATAAGAAAGAAGATTTAGAGAGAGTGCACGACTTGTCTCTTTATCTGGCGACGCGGAATTCACCGCGAACGACGAGTTTTAAATGCGGAAGGTTCAGAAAAAACTTAGAAAATCAGCCAACGGATCCATGATGAATATGAAAATGGAATGTGTTAAAAACTTCATAGTCTCGACCTGTCGTAACTTTGTCTCCTTTGATAAACGCGAATTTTTAACTTCACGTATCAGTACGCTTCTAACTCATATCAACTTTATTACGTTAGAACGCTGCCAGGCTTTGGGTTTGGTGCAAACTATAAGAAATTTCATCTACTTTACGCGCATCCCTAAAGTGATATTTTTCATCCTTTAACTCTATAAAGTTTTTTCTCTCTCAACTCGTCATCTAAATTAAGTTGAAAAGAGATTTATATTTATACGCATATTGTATATATTATTTTTTTTTCATAAGATAATATACTAAAATCTATACACAAATTTTTTAAATGCAATGACAATTCCATTTAATGGAAACAATCCAATTTTAAATAAAAACGACGAATATAAGCTTCATTTAACATAGTCATACGAAACGTCGGGGCCAAGTGAAGTCAAGATAGCAATCGGAAAATCTATTTTCCCAGGGATACGGGCCAGGGAAAACGATGCGAGAGGGATGCTTTTAGAACGGACATAAAGCGTAAATGCATCGCGAGAAAGAGAACGTCTTCACGTGAGGAGTGGCACCTTCTGGCGCACAAAGTTGTAGTTATCGAGCATTAAATTCGCGAGGAACGAGCTTATGGCGGACTTATAAACCGCCCGGATAATTCCGGCTGCAGAAAACTATCTTGCCAGCGTGAGAAAAGCTCTGGTCGATAAACCGTTCCGGGGCGGTACTATTCTAAGATCGCGTTGAAAATAAGCGGTGCTGGATAACGCGCGGGGGCTAAATATAACCGGGCATCACACGGTAGTCGACCGCTATTTCGCGCACGAACATGGATTTCGACGATCTATATCTTCCCTTTTTTTTTAGAGTCGACAGTTCAACATGTATAACATGTAACGTGGGGTGTTTACCTTCTTATACACTTGACAAAAAAATTAAGCTTGGTTTAAATTTTACTCTATCAACTTTAAAATCGATTCATTACGTGTTAAAAAAAACGAGCTATATTTTACGCATCAAATTGTACAATTATTCCGCAATTCTTTTCTTCATGTTAGATTTGTGCAATAAAATGAAAGTAATTGTTATTGCATTATTCTTTATTTAATATGATTATTTGTCGTTGGAAGATTTAGGCGAACGTGATATCTCATAAAGACTTTTATCTAATATTTAGGAGAAGCTTATCTGGAAATGAAAAGGAAGGGACACGATATCCGATGTTGCTGAATATTTTCTGTCAATGGAGTTTCCTGCGTGCACGATCCGATAATATCGTTCAATCCGCCGTATACAAATGGGAAACAACCCCACCGAATGTCCGATTTCCTATCGATGTTTTTTGTTCCCCGAGCTCAGCGGCCGATTATTTGGATTAGATGTTGATATGGACCTCGAAATCGAAGGAAAAAGAAAGCGACGGATAATAGAAGAAAATATATTTGCGGTCGAAATGAGCAATATTCGATTGTTTGCAATTTCTGTCACATACATAGCTATATATTTATCGGTTAATAAGAAAGAAAAAAATGTATGTATATATACGCGTGCCGATACCACTTGGCGCAATTGGCCATTTGGCGCAATATTGTTCGCTGTAGTTATTAAAGCTGGCTGTGCCAGCAGATTGAATAGGAATTCCCGTTGATCCACGCCGACAAGAGAGAGAATGCATATTAATGTTGACATTAAACAGGAACGATTATTAAACGGCCCTCGTTACGCATATCATGTCATTCCGTTTCTATAAAACGGATAATTGGAAATCGACTATCGAATTCATTATTCCGCGCTTTGGAGAAAGAGAGAGAGAGAGAGAGAGGGAGGAAGAGCAACTCCGCTCCGCTAATTATTATAACATCAGTATTAAATTGAAGACTGCACTCTCCGCGAGAGAAGCGTTGTTCAATCATTTTAGGAAAAACGAGAAATTTTGTTGGGAGAAAATAGCATGTGCGAAATATTCCGACTGCGATCATAATCTATTTCTTAACTATGACGAATTAAAATTTTGCAAGATATTGAAACTCATTGAAAGAGAATACATCCCGTATTTTTGCAATATAAATATATGCAATACAATAAATGTATTTAAATATATTTAAAGATATTCTTGGCCCCTTTTAAAACCCCAACGTAAAAAAAAGAATATATATATATTTATGGTTTTATATAATTTTTTTTTTTAATAATATTTATATTGGAAATGTTTATATATTGAATGTGTTATGATGTACAAGAATATATGTATTTTAAAATACATATGCACGTATATAATGTATGTATGCATATATAAAATATATATACATGTATATATAAACTGCATGCTTTATATGAAGGATTCAATAAGGCAGATAACTTTTTTATTCTCTTTCATGTAAAGCAGACAAGATCGAGAATAAGTCTCCCCCTCTTTTTACAGGCATGGAGCAGTTCGAGCAGCTGCTGACCTGCGCGATATGCCTGGACCGGTACAGAAACCCGAAACTTTTGCCATGTCAACACAGCTTTTGCATGGAGCCGTGCATGGACGGCCTCGTCGATTACGTTCGTCGACAGGTCAAGTGTCCAGAATGCCGTGCCGAACATCGTATACCATATCAAGTAAGAGCTACTGATTTTTATACGATATATATTACAACATCAATGTTGTAAGTATTAAAAATATTTTTAAAATAAAAAAAATAATTATTTAAAATGTCTCCGATCCGATTTAATATTGTGCATATAATGAAAATAAATTATAGATGCATATTATATTTAGCTTCTCGCGGTGTTTATTAAAGCTGGCTGTGCCAGCAGATTGAATAGGAATTCCCGTTGATCCACGCCGACAAGAGAGAGAATGCATATTAATGTTGACATTAAACAGGAACGATTATTAAACGGCCCTCGTTACGCATATCATGTCATTCCGTTTCTATAAAACGGATAATTGGAAATCGACTATCGAATTCATTATTCCGCGCTTTGGAGAAAGAGAGAGAGAGAGAGAGAGGGAGGAAGAGCAACTCCGCTCCGCTAATTATTATAACATCAGTATTAAATTGAAGACTGCACTCTCCGCGAGAGAAGCGTTGTTCAATCATTTTAGGAAAAACGAGAAATTTTGTTGGGAGAAAATAGCATGTGCGAAATATTCCGACTGCGATCAATGAATTTTCGTTCTATGTATTTTGTGTGCTTTCCACCGAAGATCTCGTTCGCTTAAAACGAACCGCCGGAAATCGAAGGTCCTCTCGGCTAAGTATAGAACGGGCCGCGCGAGCATAAGTCTGGCCGGTGACGTCGAGAAGTGTCAGTATACCCGATCTCGCGTGGACCGACCGATTCCAGAAGCGCGACGATCCAGAACGCTACGTGTCAATAACGTGTCGCGTTAGCCGCGAAGTGCTCTTTTGTTCGTGACGAGTGCCAAATATTTAAAACATTTTGTTGTTGTCAATCGCGACACGTGGATGAATGATATATAATAACGCCTCGTGCGCGTGCCACGAGAGACTGAATCGAAGATCGAAGTCGCGATCAGTCTGCGACGCATCAACGAGGGATCACTAACGAGGGTTGTGTCTTCGATACTGCAACGCGAAAGTGTATCTCGCTTGTGCTTTGACGGACAGATTTGACTGGGTATTTAAATTTTATTTAATTTCTTATTAATTCTTCTTTTACAAAATTTTTTTTATAAAAAATTTGTCTCTCCCTCTTTTGTGTACCATCAAGAATAGAAGAAGGATTTTCTTTTCAATCGAGAGTGATGGAGTTTGCTCTATTTTTAATTTCAACAATTTTTAAAACTTTGTGAAATTCTAATAAAAATTTTTTACATCAATCGAAAATGCGATGACGGTGTCGGTCTGGTAAAATAAATAAGCATTGAGAAAAGTTTTTAATTATGAGAACAAATTGATATTTCTGCCTTTGAATCCGAAAGCGAAAGCATCTCAGTGTTGGAAATGCATTAATGCGGCGGACATTTTAACGAACGCGTTCTCTTTCCCCATTTTGGTCGCAAAATACAGAGTTATGCCTAGTGTTTTCAATGTCACTGTCTGCCTGAATGAAATTAGGGAGATTTATCTTTCTCCTCGTGTACATCGGCGAGCGCGTTTGGGATTACGAGACATTAGTCGCGCACAAATTACACACTGTGCACCGTGGAGAAATTATTCGACATGCCTGTCGCTTTATAAGCAATTTAGGATTCGTTGATTAGACGCAGGTGCATCGCAGATCCCGGCGATTATTCAGGATCTGGATCGGTCATTAAGCGATCAAATTTAGGGGCGTAATGTGATAATTTAAGATACACAGGCTTATATATTATATATTAATTTAGCACATCCATATGTGTGAAAAAAAAGCTGTCAATAATCGAGAGAAATTAATCTAAAATTCTAATTTAGGATTTAATCTTATCTTTACACACGCTCTATAAATATTGCGTTAAACTCCAAACACATTTTTCAAATTAATTTAAACTAAGTATTATTTAATAAAATAATATTAACAAATCTTTAATTTTACCAGCGACTCTATTAATAATTATTTAACAGTTACCGTCTGTGTGCTATTAATTTTCCGAATTTTAATGTAATTAACAAAACTCACACACACGCAATGTAATCACGCAAATTGATAAAAGCACGTTAAAAAGACAGAATCAAAATTGAAGGTACAAAATAGCAACGTGCTGCGCTATTTCGCGAGCATTTCGAGATAATAAATAATAAATGATAAATCTAGATTTTCGTGAAATCTTGGTATTCAATTACGCTGTACGCGTACATCTCGCGAAATGCATTAGACGAGGAGAAACGACTCGAGATACTCCGATTTCATGAAATAACGCCTGCAAATTCTGTCTTTCGCGGACAAAGGAAAAAGCTGAATCATTCGCGACGCTGTTTATTTTGCTTCACGAAAATAATGATGCGCCCACGTGCAACCACATTTCGCGAGCGCATGGCATTCGGATTTTCCGAATTCTCATTATGCGACGCGCTCATTGCACTTTAAATGTGGGCGGAAAATTCATTTATAAATATACATATTTGCTAATTATTAAAAATTGATATCGCATTTATAAATATATAGTCAGCTCATTTGTCTACATACATTTTATATGTACACCTATATGTTTTACAAATTAACCCCTTGAATAATTAATTTTATTTATTACTTTGTTTCAATTACAAAAATAATTATATAAATGATTTCCTATTTTACTATTCGCCAACTCATTATTAAAACTAATAAAAAATTAAAATAAAAATATGCTTCTGAAAATGTTTTATGTAGATATGACAGAGATGCCACGATTTAATGATTGAAATGAGAATAACAAAAATATATAACAGCGACAAAGAATTTCTTTAGTCATGCGCGTGATCTGTTATTGTTACTGATAAAGAATTTTGCGGCAGATTTCTCATTACTCATGGCATTCCCCGATGAAAATCCGACTTGATCGCACGCGCTGGACTATTCTTTGAAAGACCGGAAAGTCCCCATGATCCACCACAAAATATGATCACACAATTAAAGCGTGTGGTAAAACGGAGACTTAAATAACGTAGGCGGGCATCTCTCCCCGGGCGGGCTTTCGAGTGAAGTTTCGAGGCTCACAGGCAAAGTGTCAGAATTAGCATCCCGTTTCATTCTCATGGCAACGCCCATGAAAGTTGCTAATGCAATCGTTGCTCACTGCCTGTTGCACCCCCCTTTCTCTCCCCCAAACGCACACGCGGAGAGAGAAAGGGGGAGAGTTTGCTTTAAGATCCAACAAGTGGTTCGTCTAACAGTAACAATGCTTCCTAATGTACTAGCTTTTGCCATTGTGTCGGCTCGGAAGCGCGATCGGTCCTCGACGTGGCGACCTTCGACGTCAGCAACGTCAGAAGCGTCGAGAAACTTGCGAAAGCCAAAACGAATTTGGCTCGGCTTCTGCCTACGTATCCGCTTCGAACAATCTCTTTGAACGTTCCGCATGTGATATTGACGCGGGTGTGTGTTATTTAAATTTATCCGAGACTTTGTGTTCATCGCGATTATTTTCATGATCGCCATTTAACCGATCTCAATAAAGTGCCATTAGGATTTATATATTTTTAATTTATTCTTAATCCGAGTTAAATGTGAAATACATGTTTAAAGAGCTGTAAGTGGGTAATATACGTAGGTAAATTTAATTCAGAACACGAAATCTGTGCAAAAAAAGTGCCAGTTTTGAAGAAGTTATTCTACAAAATATGTATATATATATTTATATAATGTATACATGTGTGTTTGTATATTTAACTTTGAAAGATATAACTTTCTGGAGTTTAGTGTAAAGACAATAATAGTATAAATTTTAATAGAATTGTATATAGTTATAAATTTTGGAAATTTGACTAAACGATCAATGTAATTATACTAGAAATATACTAGAAATCTAGAAGCTCAAAATTCTTCGCTTCCGTAATACCTTGAAATGTTAATAAAGATCCATGATTTTTATTAGCTAGAATCCGGATATACTAATTTAGTGATGGATAAACGTTTGCGTTGGCATCATCATCGAGATGACAAACTGCCGGATGCATTGCGAGAAGGTCGGATCTGAAATAAACCTGTGTCTCATGGAATTAGATTCGACATTGATTGAGTATCTCCGTAGCAGAGAAAGAAATGATGTGGACCTCGCGAGTTTTTATAGAATTCTCAAATTTTTTATACGCATCACGTTTGTAAGGTTTTTAAAATTGAATCCACTGAATTGAATATGATTTTTCTTTGTTGCAAATTAAAAAATTAAATCAATGAAATAAATCTTATATATAGAAATAATTATATATAAATAATAAATTACAAATTATATAAAATTTTAAATAATCCAATAAATTTTTAGCATAAGAAACGCACATTTAATATTTTTCTTTAATTAAAAAAGAAAGAAGAGAAAGGAATTAAATTATCACAACATAAGAAGAAAAAAAAGAGTACAATAAAAAAGAAGAATTATACAAAAGAATAGGAAAAGAATAAATTATCAAAATTATTTTTAATTGATTTAAAATAATATTAATTCAATTCAATTTTATTTAAAAAAATTTTATAATTACATTTATATCAGACATGGAATGTGGTGTTACAAATAAAATTTTTATTAAATTTTTGCCGATTTAATATTGTGCATATAATGAAAATAAATTATAGATGCATATTATATTTAGCTTCTCGCGGTTTCGCAAAATTTATATGGAGCACATTTGCGCAAGCTGTTGCGGCTCGTTTGTCGCGAAACGGCGCGGTTCTCCGACTATTATATACGTCGCCTTATCGCGTTTATATCTTTAATATATTTGCGGTGCAATAATAATGGGTAATAATGCGAATAGGAGAAAAGTCGATTTGTGTGTGTCATTTTGCCGCACAAGTTAAATGTCCTTTTATACCCGATAGCATATGCGACGTTTACGTGCGAGAGCTCATCTTTATTCAACGATGAATCCAAACGCGAGAGGACACTCATTGAACCGAGTGTACTCTCACGTTTCAAACTCATGTTGTCTTTCGACTGTTCGACCGGTCTGTTTTTCCGGAATAATCGAACGTGTTTACGCAGAAATTCAACAATGTTCTCGCGTAGCATAACAAAATTATGCAATTATATTTTCAGAAGAAATAGGAGAATTAAAAAAAATACGTTTGTTTCATTATTATATATAGATAATTTTTTAGAATATAATATTTTACAAACAGATGTTTAATAGTAACAATGATGACTTATTTACTGATCTATAGACAGTAAATTTCAATTTGGACAATGTTACTAAAGGAATGTCACGGGCGCATTGTATAATTAGTTCGCGCCATTACGCCGATTTTAATCCATTAATAAGCGGCGTACTCGGTACATTGGAAGGTTAATCAAACCAATGATACATCTCTGCTATTTATAGGGCGTGCAAGCCTTTCCAACCAATGTAACACTGCAACGATTCCTGGAATTGCATATCGAGATCACTGGGGAACTACCGGACCCGACCAGCGGTCAGACCATGGAACGCTGCGGTGTTTGCTCGGAGAAGAGCTACTGCTCGCTTTGCGTTCATTGCGAGAAGAAATGCTGTCCCGAGTGCAAGGACGCGCACATGGATATCCTGAGACGCGAAATTGCACGCATCAATTCCCAGGTATGGCGTTAAACATTTTTCACGGAATCACGAAATGTCTGAAAAGTCATTAAAATCAGGAGAAGTCTAAAAAGTGGCCATGAACAAAGAAATTCGAGCTGCAATTTGACAAAAACGAGAATTAGGGAAGTTATATAATAATGAGAAGATAAGAGAGAGACAATTAATTGCTTAACATTTATCGGAAATATTTACCGATATTCCAATACACCACGTGAATCATTATTAAAGTACTTTGCGACCGCGAAGTGAAACGAATGATTTCTAATATCTCCTTTCATTGTCGTGTAATTTATCGATATCAATCAATTTCTTCTATCTTATATTCGAAAAGCAAGTATTGGTTATGAGAAATTTTGCTATACCGATCGTGAAAACTAATTTAACCGGTTGCATAACAAATTTTCCCTTTGGCTTGTTGAGTACACGTTAGTTCGGGAACTGTTGTGTTACGGTATCCGGTATTGGGGTGTACTTTAAATTCGTTACATTTCACCCTTCAGCGACGGAAAATTTATTGCCGCGAAACTTCGCGCATCGCAATTAACTGTGTACGATAGGATAGGAAACAAGATTGTGACCTAGATTTTTCGTTTTCTACAAACGACCGTGCAATATAAAACTGTTAGTTAAATATATCAATAATGCGACACAAATATCAATTAAATACAAAATAAGATCGCGAATCTTTAATTAAATAAAAAGATTCGTCAAGCTTTTAATCCAGCGATTTGTCCCAAAATCGCAAAGTTCTCAAACTCTTTTCGTTATCAGATATTTCAAGATTTAAAATATTATAGAGTTGAAAAATTATTTTGTACAAATAATCTTAAGATGCAAGGCTCACAGGATCCGAATGAGATTATAAAAAATAAATTTCTTTTTGGAAATAATGATTTTATTAGCAAAAAAAATTGCAACTGTTACCTACGTTTGATTTTATCAAGAACTTTATTTATTATCAAGAACTATACGAGACAGACGTGCTAGATTGTATGGATCGAGCAAGATGATGTTCAGGATCGTGCAAATTCGCCGCGTGTCTCTAGAAGTGCCTCGATGAATCACGTCTATTTCCAGTAGCGGCATAAACTACGAAGCACCGTTTTTGAGACAGTCCAGAGACACCCTGATCGCGTATCGACAAGCGGAATATTGTGCGTGTAAGGATCGCACAGATTCGCTACCACATTTCAATCATCAAAGTTGCCAAAGCGAAACCGTCTATCGAAGCCATCTTTTCATTGTGCCCCAGAAAATGCGTGTGCACGTCTGAAATATAAGCTCGCTTTTCCCGTTCAGTCGAGAATAGATTGCCGTTTATATTTCATTTCATCCATCTTTCGATTATTTAGAAACGTATAAAGATCGATAAAGTAATACAGATAACGCGTTATTAGGAAAAAAATGCTTATTATTTTAATTAAAATGGTAATTTTAAACTAAATTTCGATATATATATTAAAAAGTTAGAAGGGGAACCAAAAAGTTTATGGGACCCCCTCTAGCTTTAAAAGATCGGCTGCAAATTAGCCGCGTAAAAATGTGTAAATAAAAGGCAAGAAAAATTTAGCCTTTTTGATTAGATTAATTTATTCTGCAGAGAAAAAGCAGGAATATAAAAATGTTTTCTACTTTTTATGTACATAAATCGTTCATTTTCGCTTCTTGTTATACATTTTCCATGATTTAATTAAGTTAATGAGCAAATTCCAGCGCTGTTAAAAATTTTTCGAAGGTAACTAATAAATCAGCGCTTGAGGCGGCATTGGAAATTTTACCGGCTCTAATTAATTAGTTAACAACCGGACTTTTCCGTGTCGCGACGCTTTCACCTATACAATCTGCTCTGTATAATACGCCAGTTTTCATTATCCTATTACACTTGAAAGTTTATGCGGTAAAATAAGTGAACCACTTTAGGATAGCCTTAATTAATTTTAATTACCCTCAATTTAACAGATAGCATATACATATCTCGTGAAAATATGCATGCTTTATGAGAGCATAAAAGGCGATAAAGAATAATTATTTCCGAACGTATGTGGAGAAAGAACAAATTGGACCACATTAATTTCGCGAAATAGTGTGTAAAATAATCCTCTTTTACAAAGTTTGTTTTATTCATTTTAATAGTGTACCTGATTTAATCAATTTAAAAAAAAAACAGACTCACTCAACGTTCCATTTACGGTATGACACTTCGTAAAATTGCGTTTACGTTCAATACATTGGAAAACAGATATTTTTAGCTGTTTTATTTCATGTCGCGTACGATGTGAGTTTTCTCTGTGTGCGTGTATTTCCGTATAAAATAATATTTCTTCTAAAGCTGTGTGTGTGTGTGTACTGTTCTAAAGTTCATTTATCGCGTGTGATTTAAGCCATTAATATAATTTTTATCCTGCACTCCGGAAAATTTCGTTGATTATCGCGACATGAGAGCAACAAATACTTTTGCACACGTGTTCATCTGGCGCGTGTACGATATATCCTGTCTAAAAATATTTGATTTGTTTATTTTAATTGCTCGCGATTTAACCGATTTATACAATTTCAACGGTACGCACGACAGGCTGCAAAATCACGCTTGAAAATAACGTTTCTCTGCGTTTCGCGAAGCATAAAAGCGGTTTCTCGCGAAATAAACGGTAAAATCACCGATGCAACTCGATTTTGCCGCGGAAGAAATTATGATGTTAACGCGTTAAAATACTCCCGGTGAATGTGTGTCCCTTGCACTTTTCTCTAATCTTCAGCAAAATAATAGAATGGATTATTTTAATTCTTCAAATTCATTATGTAAATCGGACACAATTTTACTCATGATTATTGCATATATACGATGCAATAAAAAATATATTTAACGATATACATAATTTTTTCTGGGCATTTTCTTCACCGCACAACGAAATTGAACATATGATACAATGTATAATATAGAGTGATATATATGTATGTATATATACATATATAATAAGAAGGCAAATATAATAATATAAGAATTACCATGATTTAAATATTTTTATAATATAATCTTATTTTGTGTGTATATATATTATAGATTAATATACATAAAAGTATATTATAAAAATATTTAAATTATGGCAATTCTTGTCATATTTGCTTGTGCTTATTATGACAAGCATTTTTATTTTAGGTTTATCACTTACTGTGCACGTGCAACTTTTTACATAATATTAATATTAGTTTTCTTGAAAAATATGGTTTTGAGAAAAAATATCTATTATACCTTACCGCTTTAGGCGACGCTACATTACGTTGGAATTTGCCATCGACATTTCCGGCTGGGTCGTAACTACATACGAGATAAACCTTTCCATTCCAACCGGTGGCAATACCGATGCCCATCAATTTCGTATCTTTCCATACCAATTGTGTGAAATTACGCACGTATTTCAAATTCCTCGGCTGTGGTGTGTCGTAATTGTAATACCTGTTCTCTTGATACCTGCATACCGAAGCAGTAAATAAATCGATTATCGCGGGAAGAGAAGATACGCGTGACTGAACTTTTTTAATTATGAAATTAAATTATTTCTTGTTTTTCGGGAAAATGTATTGTATTAATTTTGAAAAATATAGAGAAAATAATCTCATCAATTTTTAAATTGTATAAAAATATTAATTTTTATGAAATTTTTCTCGAGTTAGAAATAATTGCGAGAGATTCTTTTTATATTCTTTTTTATTAATGTATGTTTAAATTTGTCGTGATAATTGACTTAAATTTTATTTGCGCGTTATTACATTGGCATAAGATTATTGATTATTATATAAATATTCTGGTCTGTATCAGCTGTGTAGTATGTTCTTTTGCATTACTTTTCATCTACATGTCAATATCTGTTGCGCAAATTTCTTACCAATATTGCACCGGCTCTTCGGGAAGCATTCTCCAATGCGGATGTCTGACGTACACATTTTCGCCGTACGGTATATAAGTTTCCTTCAGCACTTCTTCTCCATTTTTCGATAAACTCGTCGCCAACTGCTGAGCACGCTCGTTCAACTACACAATTTTAAACATCTGTATAGATGGTACATATTACTTAAGATATAATAATACGTCTTTTCTCTCACACACAGCGTTGTTTATTACAAAATTATGCAATAAATAATTAAATTTTAAAAAATGACACGTAGCTAAATTTGAAAAAAAAATGCGGTTTAGAATTTTTAAACGGATAATTTGCAGCAGAGATAAAAAGTGATATCTTACTTTTTCATCTATTTGTAACGGCGGCGAACCGTGAATGGCTCGATATTGATTGTGTACCTTTAGGATATCTTCTATGAATTTAGATGGATTTTCTCTGTATATAGAGCAAATCTTTTCTGAGCCATAAATAGTCTCCATTTTTTTTTGGTATTTTAAATTTGATTATAAAACATATTATACTTTGAATTTCCCCATTTCCGACATATCACTTATTATAAAATTAATGAAAGGTTTAAATGAAAAAATAAATTAGTAATGCATTGATTTCCATATTTTAGGTTACATGATAATTATCAACGCGAAATAAATCATCGAGTCGAAACAATCGCAAAACATTATATATAGAAATAATTATATATAAATAATAAATTACAAATTATATAAAATTTTAAATAATCCAATAAATTTTTAGCATAAGAAACGCACATTTAATATTTTTCTTTAATTAAAAAAGAAAGAAGAGAAAGGAATTAAATTATCACAACATAAGAAGAAAAAAAGAGTACAATAAAAAAGAAGAATTATACAAAAGAATAGGAAAAGAATAAATTATCAAAATTATTTTTAATTGATTTAAAATAATATTAATTCAATTCAATTTTATTTAAAAAAATTTTATAATTACATTTATATCAGACATGGAATGTGGTGTTACAAATAAAATTTTTATTAAATTTTTGTTTTACGCTAAATAAAATGTCCGTTTCACGTTAATCGGGATTATCTCATATATTACGCGCCTCGCGTACAAGCGCGATAATTAATTCGTGGATTGCATGAGTAATCATCCACTCATTAGTGACGTTCAAATAATTATTACGGTTGCCGCGGTTTTCGATCTGTAACGCAACTTGTTTCAATATAAACGTTGTAACAGTACTGCAATACATCAGGATCTAATACTATTAAGCACGGCGATTACATTTCACGAAACTATCTCTGCAATGAACACATTTCAACAATTAGTTAAAATAATATTTTATTTTAACTAATCTTAAATACTTTATTTTAAATAATTTTAAATAATAACGTCAAATCTAAATGTTTTACAACACGATTTATGATATTTTCATTTATTATTATAAAAAAATATTTATATAAAATATTTATATAAATTTATATGAGAAGCTTTGTGTATATAATATTTATATAAATATTTATACATAAGATTATAATTTTTATTCCTACTTTTCACGGTATCAAAAAATATTACGAGTTTCTCGAATAATGCTAAGAGAAGTATATCAATTGCAAGCAATCGGGAAAAATGTGAATAAGATTACTTGATTAGTAATACACTCGACTCTTTGTAGCGGCAAAAGACTTTAGCATAATTTGCGTTGCGACAAGTTTTCAGGGTTGCCCTCTAAGTTCACCTATAACTTTTACCAAATTTACGCTGATGATACATCGTGCCTTAAAATAGAAGTTCAATGACTCCACACAAAGATCTTGACATTGTCTTGGCACTCATGATATATGTATATTACGCCGGTCATTGAGGTTCTTTTTATGATGCAAAACTTGAACATAGATTTCTTCACGATTTAATTATGAAAAACGCGTACATCTCTAATTAAATTTTTATAAATACACACAGATTAAACTCTGTTATTTAGAAAATAATTTAATAATAACATTCAAAATGAATTAAAAGAATTAAATATATCAATATATCGCTTGCATTTTCTCCTTCTCTTTAGTTTTCTAACTTGAATTGCGTTGCTGAGAATTCTATGGACTATATAAATATCGATTCAGTCATATAACTGTTGCAAGAACAAGCAACTACATAAGTAAACACCAACATCTGTTTCCTTAATCACTTAACATCTTGGCTAGATAAATAAAATTTTGGCAGTATTTTAAAACGATGACCAGTTAAAGTCGATGTATTAGTCACTTATTATAAAATTAATGAAAGGTTTAAATGAAAAAATAAATTAGTAATGCATTGATTTCCATATTTTAGGTTACATGATAATTATCAACGCGAAATAAATCATCGAGTCGAAACAATCGCAAAACATTACGGCATTCAACATGTATTTTACTATGGCTAGTTTGTACTAATAATCTCCCTCTGAATTACAATTCTAAAATAATCTCTCTCTATATCTTAATTAATTTATATCGGAATGTGAATTCACATCGGTCTTAAATGAACGGCATAATTACATTTAAATTATATATATGGCTATGAAAATATGATGCGTCAAGCCTGAAACGTATGATGTGAAATTGCCAGAAGCTTCAGAGCCGGAGCCTTATTCTATGATATTTATATGTCCAGATCTCTCTCTTATTGCTTTCACTAGATCCACTCCGTGTTCATTCAGGCCTCTACATCTGGGACCGGGGCAGTTATAGCATAACTATTATAAAACCTAAATATAATCGTCCACGGGTTTGCCTACTCCTAAGATGTCCAAAACAAGAGAAATTTCGGTTTATCAACTTTTCATGTATGAGTTCCAAAAGTCTAGCAGAATAAAAAATGAAATATCTTTCGAATACATGTAAGATATATATCATACGCTATCATTTTTATTTCGTCTTTCGTCCGATATTTCTAAGTGATTATAAATTTACATTAATAATGCGTTAAATTTACATTAATAATAGCGATAATTGAACGCGTTCACCCACGCCCGTCATGGCCATTTGCATAATCGATATCGCAATCGCGACGCGACAGCTCGTAGGCTTAGCGCGGAATTGCATCTCTGGCTTGTCAAATCTCGACAATCTTGTGTTGCCAGGTGCGCAGGGGTTTACACAGGCTGCAGGACGCGCTGGCCCTGGTGGAGAAAAACACGCTGGGCCTGCAAACGAACTGCGCCTCGGTCGCCGAAGAGGTGGACGAGATTTATCGGAGGCTGAGCAAGGCTTTGAAAGACCGCACGGAACATCTGCGTAACGAGGTCGATCGATACCTCGGCACCGAGCTCAGAGGCCTGATTCAGCTCAAAGAGAATCTCGAATTGGAAATCGCGAATATCCAGAGCAACTGCGATCTGGCGGAGGCGCACATAAACGAGAACGTACCGTGGGACGACGCCGAGCTGCTGGACACAAAGGAGCTCTTCCTGCGCACGGTGGAGTTTATCAGGTTTGTCGCCCCGTAATCTCTCCCCTTTTTTTCGACGCCCGCTCGTTAAACCCACAGTTATAGAGGATCCTTCTCTCTCCATCTCCTCCCTCTCTTACCATCCGCGGCGTATCCTTATACGATTTATTATCGGCTATCTATCCCGCGCGGTCGCCCTTTTTTTTACGGCGCGGACCGGAAAGAAATCGTTAAATCAAACGACCCCGTCTCCCGCGAGCTATTTTACTTCAATTTCGGATCTCGTCCAAGTGACGCTTCTCTCATCGATTCAGTCTACTTTGATGGACTTAATACCGTCTATGAAAATCACTACAGCTGTCATTCTTCGAATGGAATTGTTTGTCGGTGAATTGTTTAAATAAAAGAATTATAATTTCTGTATTTATATCCTATCGAGCAAAATTTATTTATTATAATTAATTATCTTTTATTTGTAAAATTTGATTACACGGAGAAATTAATAACTTACGCATCTCCTTCAAGTGTATTCGGCGTCAAAATGTATAATACAAAATTTTTAGAACGCAACATATACTTTCAAGTGAAAAAGCTGATCGTAATTCAAACACTGTCGATATGCTATTGATGCGTCGCTATTAGTATCAGGCACGTAAATTCCTGCGGAGATTTGTGTTAATAGCATTGTGAGTACAATGGAAATCCAGCGTTAGTTTCGTAATGTAATTATCCATACGCGCTATTATGAAACATAACGTGCTCGTCGTAAATTAACAAAATTTGCCGTAAATTACAGATGCCAATCGTTACGCGTAAAAAAATTATACGTTCATTAACTCAAGTGAAATAATCGTGTTAAGCAAACGACAAGGTATCGAAGAGCACAGTTCCGTGGAAATGGCTGTACACTCGCCACCAGATAATATGCTTCATTAGTAATTAACATATCGAATTAATGTCGCGATTAATTTTAAAAGCTTTTCTACGTCCGTAGAAATTTCATATATGCTAAATAGAGAAGAACACAAAGTTGTGCACGTAATCCTTTCTGGAAGTACATTATTTAATTGGATTCGCTCACGCTGCCGTAACTCTAGTTCAACCCAGGAGACGCATCCGATATCGAAGACGATCGATGTCGTTAACTATACGCAATTTTTTCTACCATCGAAGCAAGATAAATGTAAAAATAAACAGGTGCCAGATCGAAAATAATCGCACGTTAAAATAAATCATGCTCGATATTGAAAAAAAAGATTAATAAATGTTTTATCAGTAGCATAATATTGTTAGGTGAAAGGATGACGCGCGTTGTGAGATACCCGAATATATTTATTATACGCTTTTATCATTTGTACACCAAAAGAATCTAAACTTACAATTAGTTTAGGCAATAAACGGTTTGCGACGAATGAAGTTGAACGATTGTCCATTGCAGGAATTTCGAATACGAGGCGGGGGATTACAGCCGGCGAGTTCGCTTCGTGATGGCGCACGATCCGAATCAGCTTGTCCTTCACGTGGCGGGTTATGGCGAATTGAACATTAAACCGGAAAGCGGAAGCGGCGGATTGCTAGGGAGCTCGAGCAGTTTAGCCCCACCCGGAGGTTCGCCTGGCCTCATGAGGAGCAAAAGCGATCACCGTCTCGCTTCGCAGTACAGGCAGCAAGAGGAGGAACGGCTGGCCAGGAATCGATACGTTCCCGAATACGAGTAACTATTGCTTGCTTTTACGTCTCTTATCCTGGATGCTCGCGTATCCGGGTATTATTTGTCGTAATCGCGATTGCGTTTCCAATTGCTTTTCTGAAACTGTTGTCGTAAGCTGTTTGCTTGTTGCGGTGATGAATCGAACTTTATCGCATTATATCTGTAATTATATATATACAATATATATATATATCTTTTGATAGTACTTTATATAGAAATTATATATAGGATAGTATATTTTTTATTTATTATATATTTTTTATTATATTTTGTATACAGTCTCGCCGCAATATATTACAAATGTTCCTTTATATTACAGTAATAATATCGATTTATAAAATGGTTCAAATCTTTCTGAAAGCAATATTTGTCACACGCTTCATAAAGCTTGAAAAATACCAGAATATCAGTTGGAAAAGAAAACTGTTCGGCATGATATAAAACTGCTTCGGGAAAGCTATTTATATAAACCTCGACTTCTTCAGTCCAATAGCAATCTGACTCGATTAGAAAAAACTTCCAGACGGCGAAACTATTTCTTCCGCCATTTATCAATGAGATCAATTTACCTCCGACCGTAAAGCCGGTTAAAAACAGCAAGACAGTTAAGACAGACAAGAAACGTCCTTGGATCGTTGGAGTAACGATCCGACAGATCCGAAAGATCGTTACTCCTTAATTTACGGAGCCAAGATTCGGTCTGTGTTTGCGAAATGATAAATCAGCCGTGGCGAAAATTCTTATTCTTATTCACGAGGCGAGATGTATCGCGCGTCATGTTTTCCGTGCATGAGATGATTGTGAATAATTTGCGTGTCGTCCAATTGCGACCGCCTTAGGGCGATGGATATATTTTTTTCTAGAATTGAACCATCAGAGTCTAAAAAGCACGCGGACGATATATTTTATTCTTTATCGTTACGAAAATGTAACAGATTGGACCAATAATATCGAGAATCGTGGCTTTTCTTGTTGCGAGGCTCTAGATAATGGAACGTATTAATATTCTATTCGCGTAGCAGGATTATCGAGGAGCAATGATGATTAGTACGTGTCTATTACTCGCAAGCAGCAGAGACATGTTTATGATATATAATTAAGACAATTGAGTGATGTCTTTAATCTCTACAATTTTTTGAATCTTCTAAATAAGAATTCATACAATTTTATTAAATGTAATAATTGCAACAATATCCTTACGTACATAAATTTAGCAATAATAATTTTTTGAATTATAATTTTAATATTACAATTATAATTTTAAAGACATAATTACAATATAGGCAAAAGAATAGTATTTTAGTTATTGCATTTCAACATAGTATTAGAATATATCTTGGCATAAAATAATAGTTTCAATTGACAGCCACAGTGTAAAAAGCTTCTAAAGATTATATTATATAATTAATATTTATTTTACAAAATAATTTTGCGCGTGAAAATAACCACAAAATTCATATGTTCCAATATATACGTGTATTAATTTCTTATATATATATATATATTACATTTTATATAACAAGTATAATTACAGTTTATTATAAAATATTATTTTATATACAAGTATAATTATAGTTTATTATAAAGCATTCTATTTTATTTAGTACGATTTCGATACGTCGGAGAAAACTGCATATTTTCCGAAATATCTCACATGTTTATTTCGACATAAGTTATAAATACGCATGCTTCGGCATCCTCTCATTTTCTTCGTCTCTCTCTTCCTCTTTCTCTCTTCTCTTCTATTCCGACTCAAAGGTACCATCAGCTCGGAATAGGCGCGTCGGATTTAATTGCTGCCTGTTTCGTGCAATACCAGTCGTTAGAGGCTCTCGCCAGTCCGTTTTATTAAGCAGCCTTGTCAAAATGTAAATTAAATGCTTTAGATACGCGCGAGCACATATTTTTTAGTAATTAACGCTCGCGAGCTGCAAAGACCTACTTCACATGCGGGAATCGCGTCCGCCCTCTCCCCCCCGCCCGTTCCAATGCCTTCTATATATATTTCGTTTGTTATATAATTACGACAATTGTGATTGCGTTTTATGCGATTATTAGAGAAAATACAATCACTTGTCGTCTCATCAATTTGTGTCGGTCGCGCTCGAATTCAGATATCGTTGAATTGTAAATGCATCTCCATGCGATGCATTTTTATCGTGCGAAACGTGCGCATACCGCGATGTTTATTTTTGACACTTGCCTTGTGATATTCGAGCAGAAATCCCGTTTTATCCGTATTTTTTTTTTCACAATACGTTCCGAAAAGCGCGCGTGTTCGTTCTCTTTTTGCGTGGCGTGAAAAGCCGAAATACACAAATGCCCGTCATCGCCGTTGCAATTTCTGGCGCGTGTTCTTGCCAGCGTTTTGGAGCGTGACGACGCCTGATATCATATCACGGAAATGTAGCTAAATGGTCACGTGCTCAAAATCGATAATACTCCGTGATATTATAAATAGTGCAAATGCAGATAGATAGATAGATTAAAAAATCAAAAAATTTTACATGCAACACACACACATACATATACGTGTGTGTATGTTATCTGTAAATATTTTAGAATTCTAGCACAAATAAAGAAGATTATGTACATATATAATGCATTACTGCGCGCGCGGAAAAAGATTTTGAATTATGTACATATTGAATTATATTATATTTATTTTCAGCCTCTCTTCTCTTAATGAGAAATAATAATAATAATTTATCATTTATTTAATAAGCTTGATTATACAGTAATTTATAAATTTGTAATGTTTTAATTGTAATGCTTTTTTCTCAAATTTTATAAAAACGTTTTTAATATAATAAAATATATTATTGTATAAATTTCTCTTAAATATAATATTGTAGAAATAATTAATACTTGGAAAAAACAAATGCTGTTTGCTGATGGATTCTTAAGATTTTTGTTAAAATTGCAAGATATAAACTTTTTTAATAAATGGCATTTCTCGAATTCGAAAGTGATCAATTCTCCAAGCTCGCGTCTAATTATTTTCATCCGCTTCGGGTTTGATTCAAATTTTCTCGCAATCTTTATACAAAAATATTTCGCAGAGGATTTCGTGGAATGCAATATTGCAATTCTTCTGACGGATTGCTGATGGTACAAACAGATTAAAAGACTAAGATATGTATATTCTGATTTTTTAGCAGTTTTCGACACAAGGATTATTACTGTATAGATTGAAGATATATTCCAACCATTTTTTTCGATTCTAATACTTATTTATATCGATTTTTTGCATATATCTTATCAATCGTCACGTATATAATTTGCATTGATTAGCAAAATGTGTTTTATTCTCACGATTTACTGATACCAAGAGAAAAAACAACACATATAATTTAAAAAATTTCAATTATAAATTTTACAGAGATTTTTGATTAGATGACAAATAAAAATATATTATTTAATTTTAATATTGTACCTTATTCAATTCTTTATTAAATTGCTAGAAACACATGAAACAGATGATTTTGGCGGCATTTTAACCAAATATCCGGTTAAAATTTCAATTTTTGGTCTACATACTTTTTGTTATATTAAATTTGCATTGTTAAAATGATTATCACATATCTTTTTCCGTCAGCATAGAACATTACACGTGATACTGTTGTTGATGGCATGCTTTGACATATAAAGAGTTAAAAGATAAGGCAAAAATTTCGTGAAGCCTATCAGCGAACTTAAAGGGAATATCGAAGAGATGATATGAGGGTAGAAGATGGAGATCCCCTAATATCATTTCATCCTGTCACCGGCAATCCTCCGAAACGCCCTCTCGAATCGAACTGAGATAATCTGACTATAAAGCAGGTCGCGTTTCAGCGTAGGTAGGACTTGTCATTGGTCCCTTGTCATAATTTCAAGTGACATATATCAGAGACACGTGTTCTTGTGTATGCGAGATCTACTCGTGAAAATGATAAGTTATTATTCGATATGATAAGTTATTATTCTTTTAGGGAGAAGAGGGAGACATTCTTTTTATATTCAGATACACGTGGTCCAAGTTGATATCTATGTCTGACCTTTGACTGACTTGATCTACTTACCGTTCACTAATTGTAAGAATAAGCAATATAAAACACATTTCAATTTTTTTTCTTAATTTATGAGATTAAAAATTTTTGTTTCTTTCTTTTAACATATTAATTAGTCAATCTGCTAAATAATAATTTATATTGTTAACTCTATAAAAACTTCATCAACAGATTGCTTTAAAAAATAATCTAAAACTCAATAAGAAGAAACACTTCCCTCGCGTATAAAAAAAAAAGATCTAAGCTGTTTACTCCATTTATACAATTTATCGAGACGTCGTGGAAATGGATTAGGCGAGAAGGAATTGGTGAATTCTCCAGATTAAAGCGAATCAGTTTCTCGGCGACAATCTAATTGATCGATGTCGTTGTTGTGTGCTAGGTACGAGGCGCCGGAGTACGAGGTGCCCAGGAACAAGTCGAGATACAGGAGTCGATTTATGCGACATCGGGACGGCGACGATTCCGACGGCGATTCCAGGTCGACGGTGAGATTCACGTCGACGGCGCCGCAGGAGCCATCCGGTCTGCGCGAACGTGTCCTGGATACGGAGGATGCCGCGCGCGGTCCCCTGTCCGGTATATTTCGCCTGACGGACTCGCCGCGTGTTATGAAGAAGCTTCAGGAATGCGAGCGAGCCGGCAAGAGGAAGAAGGAGGAACCGATCAGTCAGCCCCAAGTGCAGCAGCCTCAAACACCCAAATCTCAGGTTAGAATAGCATGCTTCTGAGAGCCCACGTGGCCTTCGAAGCTAAAGTGGATCGAATATATAATTTGTCGGGTCGAGAATTTAGATTTAAGATACTTAGATAATATCTGGAAAATTAAGATCCGTTCTCGATCCGCTTTAATTTCGAACATTACATTAACTCGAAAGTATCTGTTAGTGCATAATAAATTTTCCTGGAAAATACTCAGAAGTGATAATTGTAGAAGCAAAGGATACTGATTTAATAATTAGTGAATTATTGATCGAATTATATAGCAAAGAGAGAAGTTAATTGCTATCTAATTTTGATCGAAGAAGTAATATAATAATCGTTTGCATGAATCGCATTTGAAATGCAGTGATTCGTTAACAAGAGTTTGAGTATAATGTATAATTGCTGTATTTGGTAAGTATATATTCCACATATTTCTCTATTTTTATGGTAATTAATTTATTTTTCAAGTGAGTCGAAATAAGCGGTCAAGATTCATTTTATAATATAATATAATATAATTTAATATTATAATATTGTTTGGAAAAATTTCAACGTGACCTTAATATCGGAATAAAATATAACATCGCAATGAATAAAAAATATTTCATACTTTGAATATATAAATATATAACTTGCGCCGTTGAATAAAAATTCGATACAGACTGAGAGCATAATCCAGATACATTTATCATATGAATATATTTTGATGCAATGTATAAATTCTATGCGAGGACTCTCGCGAGATCTCTTTCAGCCCTACGTATAAGTCTTCCTTAGATCGCTCAATTCTTATATTGGGATATCAATCTGTTACCTTCTGAATCAACTGTCTCAACTTTCGTAAAAATCCGCCGATACAATACATTTCGCATGTGTGTGTGTGTGTGCGTGTGTGTGTGTGTGTGTGTGAGAAACGTGATCGTCCCTCGCCATTATTCCGATAATGCGTATCCGAGCCCCCAAAAAATTGCTACAAAATAATCGCAAAGTAATTCGCATAATCGCCGAAGAATTTTCAAATGTGATCATTGATAAAAACAACACTGTCGCTAATGCATCGTTACGTAATGACGAGTTCATAAAAATTCACATCAATGGAAGCGTATTGATCGACAAATAATTCGTCCGGGACATTCGTATTTTTTTTTTTTACCACATGTAATACACGTTTTTACCACTGCTCCATTTGTTTTTTTCTCTCTTGACGTTCATATTTAAAATGTTGATGCAGCACGGCGCTCAGTTGATTGAATCGAACGATCGCGCGATTGTCCGGCATCTATATGCAAACCTACTGGCCGGTGTAAATTTTTCCATGCCGAAAAAATATATTGTACATTCCACACGTACAAAAAGAGAGAAAGAGAGAGCGTATCGGTGAATTTAATTGTCGTTCTCTGCTTATCGACACGCTGTATATCACTCCGCGTCGCATCAATATTTAAACGGCTAGACGTCGATGATACAATTCATTTATGGCCACGAGTTTGATCGCTGTGGCGGGAATCAATCTTGCATGCATTTTTACAAAACACTCGAAAAAAAACACTCGTAGTACGTTTGAAAAATTTGACATGGATGCCGATCTAATAAATCTCCAGGAAACATTAAAGTCTTTATATATAACAAAGAAATGTTTCGTGCGATATAACTGTTATAATTCGCGTTTTCGAAAATTTATGTATAAAGGTAAAAATTTGGAAAAATATTACAACTAATGATGTAATGCTGTTCTACTGACAACGAGAAAAAAAAACGCAAATCTGAAATTTGATTCTGAAATCTTGATCGCAAGCTAATATATATAATAAATGATTAATTAATCGATTAATTAAGAACATTTGAATGGGCGTTCGTGAATTTGACGACATCGTATTTATTTTTGACAGTGATACCTCCGCACTTTTGCTCACACGGAATCCCTTATTATGGCAGGAGAAAATAAACGGATGGACACACGAACTCTCCATGCTGACGGCCGATGCAACGAACGAAATTTGTTCGATGTCGCGCATCCCATTGTTCGGATGATAGCGGCTGGTGTTAAAAAGCTCAATGAACGTACAAACACAAATGTCGGCCTCCGTACACGTAACGTGGACCGCTATTTTAATCTATGATAATTTATATCGAGTGCTATACACGTCATATTTATGGATTGCGATTGACAAAGTGTCAACCATTTACTGAATTATATAGCGTTAATTTGCTACGATTTCACGTATACCAGCAAAGCTACCTAACGGAATACACGTGTGTACATAGATAGGACATAGATAGTGAGAGAATAATATATATCGAATAAGTATGCATTAAAAAAAAAAAACTTTGTATTTTGTATGAAATACTGCGAATGTGGAGATAATACAATAATTTTACACTTTTTATTACGTCTCATCATTAATACGCCACCCGCTTACACGCACCTGTTTACGCGGGTGCAGGGCGCATCCCTCGCGTAATCTCCGCACCGATTCACGTACTCGCCACCTGTCGCGTACACGCCATAATGTCGCATTTAAATGCATGTGCGGATTCCGCGCGTTCCGATAAATCGCGCGACGCATCGAACGCGGCTGCTGCCGCGAAGGGGACACACTCTCGATCGTAAACCTCGGCACGGAGGATGTCTAGGATAATCGAGATGATCGCGAGAGGAAAAGATTGTCGCGAGGCAGGCGCGCGATTTCGCGACAGGCAGAGGCGTTTTGCACGCGCAGCATTACTTCTCGTGAATAAATGATCTTTTGACGCGCAGGTACAAGTGAGAAAGGTACCGACCGCGATGGCGAGGCAGACCAGCGAGGATGACGAGATCTCCAGGATCAAGAAACAGAACAAGAATGCCGCGGCGACCGCCACCGCCGTCCACGCCGAGACGGTGGAGGAAAGGCAGCCGACGTCGACGCCCGTTTCCGCGCATCCACCGTCGAGAGAAGTTCCGGAACCCGAGGAACAGCCGGTCAGGAGGACGGCTATCGCTAGGTAAGCGCGCGGATAGAACCATCGAACTTTATCAGAAGAAAAGTTAGCATATAAATGTAACGGAGTTGAAAGTATGAGAGAGAAAAAATTATTCGCTTATAAAAGTTTTATGAACATAAAAATTTCGACATGTCCCATAAAACGTGTAATTGTGTAATATTAATCATTGCGAATTAACTGTCAAATAAGTGAAATAATATAATATTGAACTTCCGATGAAAAATTCGGACTAATTTCGAAACCATGTATCAAAACCGCGTTTTAAAGAATTAATACACCGCGGTAAGGAAATCTCGATAAAATTACCTTTACTCTCTCGACAAGGGGTATGTATCAAGATGATAAACTAACACGGTATCCCCGAAGAGACGAAAGACCAAGGGCGTGTTTGCTCACGTGGATATTAATCACTACGGGCGGTAACCGCGAGATTTGCGGCCAGCTCTCCTCTAGCAGCGCTCGCGTTATATCGGACTTAAGCGAAGAGTTTATGCCGTGACGTTGTTACGGTAAACAACTAACTCGGCCGAGTTCTCCCATTCTCCGTTATTAACGGGCTTGTTTGTAATATTGTTGCTCTCGAGCAGGAGAACTTCGGCGGAAACTCACGTCCCGCCCGCGGCCAGGAGCGCCTCGTCGGACTCGAGCACCGGCTCCGAGAGCTCGGCAGGATCAGGAATACGCAACACGGGCGCGTCGTTCACAACCGAGGAGATGAAGCAGAAATACCTATCGAGGGCGCCGCCGACCAACACGTCGACCACCGTGTCATCGGTGCCGGCCGTCATCTCCGCGACGACCAAGGAGTCATCGAACACCGTCGCGCCGACGCCAAGAACGCCCTTTCAGAGCCGTTTTTTAGGCGCAGGTAATTAATCATGTATTATTAATAATTTATAATTTTTAAGAAAGCTTGTTGCGAACAATAAAGCGCAGTTTAAGGCTAATACAAGTTATGTTTCTTCGCGTGGAGCGAATACTTTCATTTTTATTTAATGGAAAAAAGATGCGAGATTTTTCGGCTTTTTTCTCTAAAATTTCTCTCCGAAAAATTAGAAGAAATAATGCAACCAGTAGTAATCGAATATTCAGCTGCTTTTATAGCAGCTAGAAGCTGCTCTATCTGCGGCACGTCCCAATTTCCCAGTTTGTGCGCTTATTATCTATTGTTTAAATGAAGAGGCTCGGAAAAGCACGTCTCTGCTGGCCTCGCACATCGAGCGCCTATTTAACGCATCTATTGTATTTCTCTGCGTCGAGGGTGAAAATTGAATGTGCGGACAAATTGCGTTTACCTTTCACTTACCTCTATTTCAGAAGACTTAATTTAAAACAGGGAGAATTTGCTCGTATTTAAAAAACGCGATATCGAACGTTAAAAACACATGACATCAAATTTAATTAATCCAAAATTACATAGTAATGATATAACAGTTTTTAATATCATTTGAATAGTTTTTTTGATATATTTATTTAACGAACTAGACGTTATCCATGTGGGTGCTCTTTCACGATAAATTATTCTCGAAAAGAAGTTTGAAGGAAATATATAAATAGACTTGACGGAATTAACGGATAAATTAACGGTTGTAAAGGGAATGTTCTGTGTTCGATCGCAAATGTCCGTGTGTCCACTACGCTTGGCCTAATCCCGTATGCAAAGGGCGTATGCGTAAAACGCAGAGGGTTGTGCTACAATCGCGTTACAATGTTACAATTTGCTGGATGCTGGGCCGAGGGAGACCTCGCGCGAGCGATACTTCGAGATTTGAGGACAGGACGGATTGGCACGATAATTGCATTAGCCATTCTCAGTTAAAGCTGTCGCTGCCTCGCTTTTCCGACGTCATGTTTCGGCCACGTCACATCGAATCTACCACCGCGTGTTAAGTCGACGGAGGGAGGCGACGTGTCTCGCCGACGGCGAGACACGCGGACGGACGTGGTGGCGATATTCGCGCGCTGCTGTTTCCGACCACCGTCGACAATCGATACGATCGGCCCGCTTTCTCATCGCGTTTCCGTCATCCGCGAACGCGACGGAGAAGAGGAAGGACGCTCTCCTTCTGCTTCTCATCTCAGATCGCACAAACGCGCGCATTCCCATGCACCGCGACAAGTCCTCGCCGCTTGTCTCTCCTCGTTTCCTTTGTCCGTGACTGTTGTTTCAGCTCGATATTACAATATTTCCTTATATCGAAGTCAGATATGGTTTTTCTGTGAGAAACGTATAATAATTTCGATCGCAAGAGATACAAGAGAGAGAGAAAAAATATATATATATTATTAAAAATTTATTTAAAGCGTTGGAAAAATTTATGCATAACTTTAAATTAAATTCTTTAATCTCTCTTATGTCACAAGCTAGAGTTCCAGATAAAAATCGTGCTAAGATGAGATTAATGTCAAAGTTTTTTCTGTCTTTTTAGGTAACCGTGCGGCTCCGCCACCGCCGATTCAGACACCGCGAGAGGAACCTGCAACAAAGAAGAAGGACGAGGAGGAGGACGAGGACGAGGAGACGAGCAGCTCCTCCGAAGAGACGGAGTCGGATACCGAGGAAGAGTCGGAAACGGATGTTCATCCGTCCAACACTACTCCATCCGTCAACACCTCCGCCACGTCTCAGGATCGTCAGAGAAATGAATCCGCCATGGCGCGCACCGATATCGGGCCTCTGCTCGCTCGCAGTGCCGAAGCTCGAAGGGGAAGCAAAGAGGATTCACCTAGCACCAGGCAAGTACCTTCGTTTTCTAAAAATGTGAATCCATCGACGAGACGAACGACAGACTTGACTCTCAACTAATATGGTGAGATCAACTTTGATTTCAAGTGAGATATTTCAGAGATCATCTCTTGAAATGGAAAATAATGGAATTGATATTTAAGATATTAGTGTGTCTTTCTTGATTAGAAATAAAATTAATGTTGCTTTTCAAGCTATATTGACATAAAGCATAACGTAATTAATTTATTAGAATCGGGTTGATATCATATAGTAATTACGTTATGGAAATTCAAACATATCAGTTGACGATTGTCAAGTATGGACAGAAATTGTTTACGATAAGAATTACAAAAAGCACGAATAAAATTGAGACAGCGAGAACATAAAATATAAAGATGGAATTATATCGAGAATTTTCTATAAAATTATATTTGTTCCAATACAGACTAAAAAGATTTAATATAATTAAAAATTATAATTAAACATTTATTTCTTCAAGATTTCCCTTTTATAATAAAATTGGAAAAATTATAATTTCAATTCTCTCTCTTCTTCTATTCTTTATTTTCTTCTTTCTCAAGCGTCTATATTGCCTTTCTTATCATTATGCGACTCTCAATCATTGAAGAGTCGATCGATCAAGAATCCAATGTGGCGCATTCGCTATAAGAGCTATCGCAAAGCTTTCGTTCGCGTGTTTTCGTGTTTATTTGCGGTGCGCGGAAACATCGCAAACACGCATCAGAACGTTCTCTCCCTCGCCGCATTTGAGAGCATACGAATGCGCGGCCGCGCTCACTCGCGCTGAATTCCAAAGTGAGCTACCCCACCCACGACATTCGCAATCTCCTCGAAACTATGGCCTAAGGAGACGAGAAACCATCGGGAGAACGAGGGAGAGAGAGACCACGACGTAAGTGCTCTCCGGCCCGGTCCGGCGGCGAATCCCTCCGGCCTTTGTAAAAGAATCACGTGTCCCGTTCACCATCGCGCTCGCTGCTATCAGAAACTTTCCACGTACCGCTGCGGAAACTGATTAACCGCTCAGCCTGGCGATGAATCGTAATACATTAGGGCGCGGAAATTTGGCCACGAGCACGCATCCACATTCGAGAGGGACGTAATAAAATCCTACGGTCGCTCTTTATTAGAGGAATCGAACGATCTTTATCTTTGTCGATTAATTGATTAATTATTTGGCCAAAGTATTTCAAGTACTTCAATATTCAAGCTTCGATATTTTAGCAACGAGTTGAAAGATTCGGATTTTAATTTAGCTACATGGATTATTAACCGTGTATTGTTGCGATTTCTCTCTCTCTCTCTCTCTCTCTCTTTCTCTCTCTCTAATGCATTTGCATAAAATATTTCTATAAAATATGATAACTGAAAATCTTGCGAATTGAATAACTTCTGAACAGCTTGAAATATAGAGTAACTTATTAATCTTACGATCTCGCGCCTCAATACTAATGAAAGACGCGCGATAAACTCGGCAGAAAGCAGCCGGTAGCGGTCGAAATAACGTGACCATAATCTTGATGAGGAAAAGAATATCGGGATCGATGTGCCACGTCGTCCGATAAGTTCTCGAGGACGCAATCAGGCCGGCACACCATGCGAAACACACCCTTTTAGAAATAGTAGTAGTAGTAGTAGTAGACAAAGCATCTCCCCCTACCCCAAAGAAAAGAGAAAAAGTTCCGACCGATCACCTCGTGTCTCAGGTATTCGTCGCCGAGGGGGAGCCCCGCGCAATCCGTGACGACGACGACGACGACGATGACGGCACCGAGCGGCGGCGCCGCGATGACGACGACGTCGACGACGCCGGGCGGCTACACCAGCAGGTTCGTAGCGCACGTAGCTCAAACGACTGCTCACGATGAGGCCACTTCTAATTCCAGTAACCCCCACGACCGTAATCGTTTTAGGGCATTTAGCGCGGACGGTAGTACCGACGAAAGAGGGTACTCGGCCGATCGCGGTGAGGACGATAATAAAGTAATCGGGGCCACGGCCACGATCGCGGATTACGCTTTTAACGTCGACGCCGACGGGGACGCACTTAAAACGCCGCGGGCGACGAACGCTCGCTCGTCGCGAACGGACATTATTACGGACACCGACAAATCGATCACCTCATCCACCTCTTCCCACCTCGCGATTAGCGAACCCGAGAGTAATCTCCTCGAGGGTAGCCGCGGCGATAATCGAGTAGCGAGCGTGGCATCCGAAGACGAGGCCATGTTAGTGGAAGGTCGTTCCGGGAACGATGAGATCTCATTGATAGCCGCCGATCGCGAACGGGACGGATCTACTCTCGCGACCGACGATGACTCCGAAACGAGAAGACGCGACGACGTCGTGTTCGAAAAGCGTGAAAAACTCGATGACGTTCCATGTTTCCTTCGGATCGTCGTGGAGGACGTCGATGCAACTGTCGAAGAGCGCGCATTGGACCCTACGAGTCAATCCGTCGAGACGATCGTCGAGCGCAGAGATCGATCGAGATCCAAAGAGTCTCAAACTGTCTCCGAATGTTCGAGTTTCATCAGCGGGCGAACAATGTCCGACAGCGAATCAGAGAGTGATTCCGAAAGCGGTTCCGAGGAGGGCGACGAAGAGGAGGTTGAGGACGACGAGTCTCGGGATGAAAATTGCAACGTGAAGAAAGAGAGGAAAGAAGAGGAAAAAAACGATTCCGGCGATAAAGGTAGCGCGAAACGCGAGGTTAGCGAGAAAAGCGAGGATCCCTCGAGTTTCGGAGACGACGAGGAGACTACGGTGTTGAGTGTTAGTTCAAGTCGAGGCGAAAGCAGCATGACACCCGACGACCGTTACGAGAGGGACCTAAAGCGTCGAAGCGCCTCGATTATCGACGAGAGGAGTATCGAGGAGATGTTCGACGACAATGGTTGGGTGATCACGGAGCAGGATCTACAACAGGATCTGCAGCCGATGTCCGCGATCCCGTCGGTCTTCGGATTCATGGTCGATCGTGTCGAGGATGACTACGATGGGACTCGTACTGAAGAAACTATTTCGAGGATCGCTGAGCGGGGACACAACGAGACATCGAACAATCTCGAGGGTTCCTCAACGCGATCGAGCACCGCGATCGACGACGTCGAGACGACTCTCCCAAGCGAAGAGCGAGCGTCCGAGGGTCCATCCAGAAGCCGCGTGTACAGGCAGAGCAGTCTGGGTAAGAACGGATGGCTGGTCTCCGACGAGTCCGAGAGCGAGTCTGAACGGGCGACCTCTCCTGGGATCGAAGTCCCCTACGATCGAGACATCGTGCGGATCGAAGGGATTGTACAAGATGAAGCTTCGAGGGGGATCGAGGATAGCGGCATCGACGAGAACGGGTGGGTGATACTTGACGACGACGACGATGATGTCGATGACGACGGCGACGCCGGTGATGGCCGCGTAGGGGAGCGCAGCGCGCAGGAGAGCACGATTCGTTCCCAAACGACCGACCTCGTAACGAACACTAACATTGAGAACGGTGCATTACTCGCGAACGCTACCCGGTCGAAGGGCGAGCAGTCGGGATTCCTCGGCGAGCGCGAGGAAACGCCGCCCGTTGCTGCCAATCACAGTATACCGGTGCAAATGGTAACCACCGTCTTCTGTGTGTCCGTACTGTGTTACACCGTTCTAACGAACCTGCTCCTGTAATCTCCTAAATCGGGCTCTCTCATTTTTTCTCCGACCTACACAGACACGTACACAGATCTTCTCTTTCGGTTCCTCCCGACGCTTCATCTCAACGGTTGTCGGCGTTGATGATGAGAGACCGTGGACCTTACACGAGAGCTTGCACATACACACAGAAACTGACGAGACTCTCTTGTCGCGAGTGACGATGCAGCAGTTTTCTCCCCCGATGGGATACTTGATCCGATATTTCGTTTTGTTTACGAAAGAATTTTAATCTCCATCGAGATATTGTTAGCTCCAATGCTACGATTAAATATCTGATTCGAGTTTTGTCAATTAGTGAGACATCTAATGTAATAAATCTAATTATAACACTGCAAAACGCTTAACTCCTATAAAACATAATTATAGCTTTTTAGATTGTTTAACCCTTTGATGATTGCACAATTAATTTGACAAAGAGAGAAAATAATTTAAAGATCTTACTAATCACACATCATAATGTTGTTAGTATTAAATATTATTACACTCTCGAATTCCGATTAATATTCAATTAACTCCGATCAGATTGCAATTAATTTCGAAAATTAAGCATTTCGATATCAAAGGGCATAGGAAATCAAATCATACCGGTATCGAGAATTAATATGATAGAGAATTTGGGAAAAGTTATATGATATAATGAGAATAGAGAAAGGTATATATTTTTACTTGTTAAAAAAAGGGACTGCTGCTCGAAACTCGCGTTCTCCGAGCACCGGATAAAAACCACCACTATCAGAGAACGTTCATGAACATAGAAAACTATCTATTTACAGTATACATAATAAACTTGCATTTTATATATTGTGATAATCGTATATACGGCCGAGTGCCATTGTTCCTACATTTGTCGATCCGCGATACGTAACCCGCTTCATTGCTCAAGTACGTAGCTTCGCGGTCGTGTTTTATATATATATATATGTGTGAGTATACACATACGTACACAGGCATCGCGTCAAGTAGCGAGGCAGTCTTCGCAATTCGCGCTTTAATTCACGCTTTAAACCCGTCCCCGAAGAAATGGTAGCGTTAGACGTCGGCGGCGACCGCACGTGACAGTCTGTGACCACGTGGCTCGGCCGCCTCCGCGTCGCGCGTATCTGTAATAAGTTTTTGTACTCTCTCCTTAGCGAGTAGGCTTACGTCACAGTTTGTTGGTGTGGTAAATAAACTGCATTTCTTGTGATAACTCGTATTATTTATTTCCCTGTCAACCGTCCTCAGTATCAAAATAATAACAAGCACAAAGTGTCGGTTCCCGCTTGCTCGCAAATTTTTGTTCGTAATATTTCTTCTCTCCATTTCATTTTCTTTTGGTCATTCACGTTCTTTGTTCCGAGAATTTCTCTTGCAGTCTAATTCCCTGATTTCTCATTCTCAATGTCCCGATCCATACGTGTATTATCTCTGGAATACTATCGAGCGGGATACGATATGTACGAGAAAAAAATGCATATTTATTTATTGCACTAACAGATTGTTTTTACGTTTATAATACCATCATTGATCGGTGGACCGGTCGATGATCGACCGGTGGAGGCTGTCTAAATTTCGTCGTCCGCTTCGGTAATCCTTCGAGCGGGATCATCGGAATGTTTCTCAAAAGTGATTTACACGCGCACTTAAATTGCACAATGTTAAATTTTTAATTGTTAAGTTATATTACGCGTGCGTACAAGATTAATTTATTTTACATTTATTTAATCATTTCTTTGACATAAAATAAAGATTTATAACTTATGTTTTCTTTTTATGTATGATATAAAATCTTATATTTTCAGAATCTAATTTTATTTTTTGTTTTACAATAAGATAACAAGAGTGTAAAAGATATTGGATTATTCCTTATCATAAAAATCACTTTTGGATATTTATTTCAAATAATTCGCAAAAATCTTGTTAAAGCAGACACAGTCATCTACAAGCAGGTTCTTTTTATACTTCTTCAAAGCGTTTAGGATACAAGTTTTCGCAATATTACACGACATTACAAGTTTGCGATATCAATCTCTTTTGCACATCTCAAGATACACACACTCAAACTGAAATGTTATCTCGAGGAGAAAGTCAGAAGTGTTCGCAAGTGGTAGAATACTGGATTGCGAGACTACAAGTAGGTACGATACAAAACATAAGGACAAGTTCATGCTTTTGGATAGCAGATTTAAATGTCCAAATAAAATCTCTCAGAAAAATTCGCAACGAGCTAAGGAAATTTTATTATTCTTTGCGATAATTTGTGATTAATCCATTTCCTATCGTGCAATTCAAATGCGCTTTATTATTTTTGCAAAAGATAACACGCTGTGAACATTAAAAGATCCAACAACTCTGTGTCTTTAATTACCATAATAATTAATAAATATATATATATAATTATTATTATTATAATTTTAAATGGATTAATTCATAAATCAATTTTATAAATTCATTTTATTTTAAATCATAAATTAATTTTATTTCAAATCATAAATTTATTTTATTTTAACAGCCGTGATAATAATCGAAATTTGATTTGATCGAGAATTTATTACTTTTCTCTCATTGCATCTCGTTCTTTTCAAACTATGATAAAAATATAGATATAGAGTCAAGTTTCTCTCTCTCTCTCTCTTTCTCTTTCTAATCTTCTACTGTAAAAATACTTGCAGCCGAAAGTGGATTACTACATAACGCTACGCAGTATTCTTAGCACGTTGCGCACTCCGCTCGCCACTATAACAAATCGGTGGTGTCGAAACTTCACAGTTTCCACACCGCTGTTTGGGGAGAGAAGGGAATGGGGCGGGAAGTGAGGGGGAAGGGAGAAGGGAAAATGTAGAACCATCGATCTACGCTTACAATCTGATCTACCAGTTTCGTAAACTGGAAACTTCTTACTTCGTGACACGTCGGTTCTACCGATGCACTGGGACCCGACCTAATACGACGAAATACGAACTTTGTTAGTTGCGGGAGGGGGAGGGGAGGATTCGGTGTGCAAAGTCATACAAACCGGGCGCGCGATAAACTATGTTTATGCCGAAGTTTGCGGACATTCATGAACTTTCTCAAATTTGAGCAAACCTACACAAACATTGTTTGACGCAATCCGAAAATTTCATCCGTATCACCTCCTCTCCCGTTCTCACTCCCCCTCCCCCTCCCTCGCGCAACACTAACTTTCCCTGCGGGATGTTAATTACGATGTAATATACGAGCAAGAGATTTACATTTCCCCCGTTATTTGTAATTAATCAACAATGCAAGAGCTGTTATCATCAGCGCGTACAAGACATGATTGGAATACTTTTCGATAAAATCTAAAATATCGAATCTATAAATTGAACTAAATTAAATCTAGAAAAACATTGCTTATTTAAATATAATATATAATTTTTTAATTGATATCTCTCTCTCAAACTTTCTGATGGCTCAGTAATAAAAGATTAACAACTCTCCCTTCCCTCTCCCCCTTGCTTCTGAATAATAAAAATACTTACGAGAAAATGATGTGCATGTGACATACATGTGCGAATCACAGTAAAACACTTATCTGCATATTCATCATACTCATGTATACAGGATGTCTCACGAATCTGTGATAAAATGTGCGGCGCATCGGTGGCCGCCGATGATGATTGCGCTCATCCATGGAGCTGGAATCGAATTAGATCAGTGGCCGTTTCGTAAGCATAGGTCTCCTTTTTTAGAATTTCAAAGTCAAAAGTAAAAAAAAAAAAAAACCCCGCAACGATCCGATAAGTATATAAATGACATCTTCCACTGACGATGAACGCTTCCGGCAAGTGTACAGACCACAAGTCAGATTAGCAATTAGAATTAACTACATTGATCTCGTAGCTTATCTCATTGTCATACATTGAATTGATATAATATCGGAATGTGATTTTTTATGTAACAATAATAAAATTTTCTACTTTGTCTATAATAACTGCTTCCTCTGATTCACACAAGCGCGACAAAAGCAGAAGCTTTAATTAATACGATTCACCGTAGTATTTTCTGTGTGCCTTTCGTCGTTTGTATGCGCTATTAAAACCGCGAACTAACGTGATATAAAAATATATCTCATACGTTCGCGCAGATCCCTCCCTATGTAATTTTCCGTACAATAGCTCGCGAGAACTTCGTTTTAATGCGGACGCAGCGGGATAGATTCGCGGGCAATCAAATGCAAATCTCGTCCTCGTAAGCTTAATCTCATAAACGAGACAGTAATACTGACACAAAGTCTACCGTTATGTATATGAAAAGCAGTTAGCTCCTTAACCTCATTACTTTGTTCCCTCCCAAACTCATTAGCGTGTGCAATTTACGGCACGCTCGTATTATTGTATCTTTTAAAACCTAATATACGCGCCTCTCCGCAACGCATAAATAGCGTTCTCCTCGGACACGCGCACCACATGGAATAAAACGTGATATGCATAATCAGTGCACCTCTCTTTAACTCTACAAATAATAAATATCTATAAGAACGTATCTCCAAAAAAAAAATTTATTTCTTCCAAATGTCCAGTATTTCTTCTTTGATAAAGCGACATCGATAAATATATTCTTAATTGACGCAATACGCACAAAACGAACGCCGGTCATCCTTATTTTGAAGACGATTCGAGATTTTTTTTTTTTTCCTTTAAAATAGAGCGCGTTATAGATATATCGTACGCATTGTCCGTCGAGAAGTATTTTGGTTGCACGATATTGCGTTCATATTCGCTTGCACAGTTTGCGTTCGCGGCACGCACGTGCACCAAAATAGCCCGATGCGAGTCTCTCGCTTGAAAATACGACCGCAGAGATACCGCTCGTTCACAATGGGTATCGCCTTTCCGCGCGTGTGCCGGGGTCGAGACCCTCCAATGTTTCAAGGGTGTGCGATTACCCGAAATCTACTCGAATTTAGCTTGAACAATTACGGTCCAGGAGATGAAGGAGAGAAAGGCCGAGCGCAATCGAACTGTAGGCTATCGTAGAGAAGTTGATCTCCAGAAAATATAAAAAAAAAAATTGGAGCGGATATAGCCGTTTGAATCATTAGTCTCGCACAAATTCGAAGGAATTTTCGGTAATCCAAATATTTATGCAAAGATGCATTAACAAATATATTTTAGAAGACGTTATATATACATATAATACGGAGAATAAAAAATTTAATTGTTGTTTTAACTTTTACAATTAACAACGTGCTCATTTTATGCTTCTCTCTCCGTAGACAGTCTATATATTATTTAGCAATTACATAACGCGAAAAGATGAGATGAGATTACACTGCTTTTTCATCGCGTTGCTTAATTATCTCATTGTATATTTAATTATTTGTCACTTGTCAGTGTAATTGTTGAATGCATTATGACGGAATTATTTTACTCTCGCAGAAATGGCTTTCAAAACAGAAAAATTTTTTACAGCATAAATGCTTATAAGATATATCCAGGAAAATGATTATTATAATTTCTAAATTTGATATTTTCTGAAAACTTTCATTAATTAAGTTCTTAAAAAAAAAATATATATATATATATAGATATACGCAAGTATCGTGACTTGTCATTCTGACTGTTTGACAGATCAACTTAAAATATTTATATATACATGGAATTGCAATCGTTTGTTGTGAAATTTCTAACACTTATAACGTATTGAGATTATGTGTTAAACTTTGCAGGCTCGCAAAATTCGTTGAGAAATGGCGCGAAAATATATATATACTATATATACATATAGAAAATTTTAAAATTGTACACTGTATGATAAAATGGAAACAATTACTTCTGCAAGATTGAAATAACTCGAATATTAGCGTATTAATATAATGAAGATAAAGACTCTCGGTACAGACGAATTGAGCGCGCCGTCTTGCTAATGTTCCAGATTCCTAAATAAGAGCAGGAGCCAGGCGGCGATGATGGCATCCCGCGAGCGGGAACGGGAACGAGAACGGGAACGGGAACGCGAACGGGAACGGGAACGGGAACGAGAACGGGAACGGGAACGAGAACGAGAACGGGAACGGGAACGGGAACGGGAACGGGAACGTGAACGTGAACGCGAGCGAGAACGCGAGAGGGATGTGGACGCGGAGACCGACTCGCCCTTATCAGCGAGATCCCGGTACGCGGCCCTGAAGGAGCGCCGACAGCGTCTCGCCCGTTCCAGGAGCTCTCACAACTTCGGCGGCGATGATCTCGACCTGGACGAGGAACCACCGTCGCCGACGACCCAATCGCCGAACGCTTACCTGGCGGCCAAGTACGGCGTCGGTTCCGAGCTAGCGCGTAGCCGTAGCACCCACGCCCTGAAATCAAGGGAACCGAGTCCGGAACGCGATCGCCCGGGCGCGGAGAAGGACGGCGCGGCTCTGAGTTCCTGGGCCAGGTACCTGAAGAACAAATACGGCAACCGCACCACCAAGGACAAGGAACCGCCCTCCTCGTCCTCCACGATACCCTCGTCCAGGTGAGACTCAAATCGCGACTGGATACCGTTTGACAAACGAATTCGCATCAGACTGCGATCAATCTAATTTTTAAAATTTATCAGAGTAAATCTGTCGTTTATATAAGAGAACGTCAGAGAATTTCTCTCCACGTAGAGGATATATGTATATTAATTTATTGTCTATTTTCCACGTAATGAGTATAAATTGCAAATTGCGTCATGGATAGTATGATACGCGATCATTGTATTATGCTAGCAATAAGCTTTAATCGCATCATTGTTTGCGCAATGATTCGAAACATTATACGCGCATTAGAATCGATATATATATATATATAGATAATACTGATATCATATATTTATTACAATATCGCATCAAACACGCAGGATTATCACGATAGCGCAATATGAGACGTTGTTATGTTATCAATAATATGAAAAATATTATTTAAAATGATGATTCAATTATTACCTGTATAATTGATCTTTCATTATAAAAAACTGAAACTGAAACTGAAATTTTTGAAATAATTTTTGCAGCTCTAGCGCGGCCTCGAGAAGGCTATCGTTGGGCTTACCTCTGCGACACGCCGGGCAAACATCCTTCGAATCTTCTGACGACGATCAAAAAAACCCGTCAGGCTCCCCCACGTCCCCTACAGCAGCTCCCGTTACACCCGCAGCAGCAGGTTCCTCCACTAGGTGAGTCTTGATCACATTATATTCTCGCGTCGCATGAAAGCAGATCTCAAGTCCTTACTTACGATCGCAATATCTTGTGTAAAAGGCAGTACGAATAAAGGCGAAAAATTTTGAGGATATAAATTTTGTTTTTTTTTTTTTTGGTTGATATTTTTTATAAATTTCCTTTTTAATAAGATAAAATTTATAGACAAAATGTCTCAACTTTACTTGAAGTTCTTTACTTACTGAGCGAATTTACTTAGAAAATGAATACGACGCGCATACATTTTTCTTGTCCGACGTCCCGAGAACGTAGCAAGTTTCGTAGTTTGGAAAGAAGACGCGACGCGCACTATGGTCGTTAAAAGAGAACTTGCAACTTTCTAAATATACCTCGGACAAGTACACTCCCTGAGAAAGCGTCGTCCGCGCTGGACGTCGCTGAGAGAGAGCCGGGATATCGCAATCACAAAACACTTTATCCTCGTTATCCGTTGCGTTGCCGGGTCTCCTCGCGCGGCTATAATTCTCAAAGATCTACCGCTGTTTCCGCCGGAGTAAAACAGCGCGTTTCTCTTGAAAAGTGGATTTGCGAAAAAACATTCTTTTAAGAAACACGCCGCCGAGAGATGAAGATACACAGAGAGAGCACTATATCCGAGTTTGCCTCTTCTTCCTCCGCGCTCGGCATAAAACTTTTCTCGAGGACGATAAGAGAGCCTTCGATAGGAGTTTCAGATGAAGAATTACTGCATTTATCGCGTAAACGTTCGCGCGTAACCGCACGTGATTGACCATGTGACCGAGGCGTAGGAATTTTCTCCCCTTCCGAAGTGATTTACGATCGCGGGAAAATCGGAAATCCGCGTAATGAGCTTTATTGACCGTCCTCGTCGATCGATTCCAGCAATGGTCGGAGGAGTCATTACTTGCTGAAGCGGCGGCAGCTGTTTAAGTTCGGGATGCGGGGGAGCGAAGCCGGATGTTTTACCTGGCCGAGAGGCCTGGCGGTCGGCCCGGACAACTCCATCGTCGTGGCCGACAGCTCCAATCATCGTGTTCAAGTAAGCCAATTTATTGAATCTCTTAAAACTCGCGAATTCAATTCTATTTAAATCCAAGCGACAATAATCATTTTTGAATTAATAATTATTTGAAGATCTTTTTCATTTATTAAAATCTCTTTTAATTATTCGAAAAAAAATTTTTATTGTAGAAGAAAAGAGTTATTAATGAATTGAAAAGTTTCAAAAATTGCGTTGTTCTGTCGCACAATCTCTCGAGGTTATTAGAGAGATGCAAACTAATACTGACAACCACCAACACGAACCGCGATGAATCAATTGCGTCATTCTCGAAGCGACGTAATAGTTACCTCGTGTACGCCCGTAAAGCGGAAGTACGGAGGCTTTAAAATTTCATGGGCATTTCGTATATGTATCGGCATATTGACGACCGTAAATAAGCCGACCTCGATTGCGCGCCCAACGGGAGGAGCGAGACAGAATCTCTCCTCTCCTAGGACGCGTTATATTGCGGTTGGCCGCGAATGGACGATTTTAATATCGGCGGGCGATCGATATAAACGACGCTTGTGTATCGCTCGGGTGTACCGTAGGTATTCGACGGTAATGGAAACTTCATGAAGGAGTTCGGAACGTACGGCAGCGGCGAGGGCGAATTCGATTGCCTCGCCGGGGTGGCAGTAAACAGGATCGGGCAGTACATCATCGCGGACCGATACAACCACAGGATCCAGGTGCTCGATCCATCCGGCCGTTTCCTGCGAGCCTTCGGCTCCCAGGGCACCGCCGACGGCCGGTTCAATTATCCCTGGGGCATCACCACTGATGCTCTCGGATTCATCTACGTATGCGACAAGGAGAATCATCGCGTACAGGTGCGCCCCTTATATCAAACTTAATTCATCAACTCTCGATAAATAGCTCAATTAATTGTTAACTTTCGGGAAATGAAGGATCAAACGCTCCGATTTTTTTTTTCTTTTTTAGTAGAAATTTTTTTTTCCGCTGCTATTGACAGTGTATTCCGTATGATGATAAAATATATGCGCGTGTACGACGGGAAAGTAATTGCGTTTTGTATTAACAGCGTCATATTTTACGCCGTATATAATAATACTATTACAAATAATACCTGAATGCCGGAATACCTGCAGGTATTTCAATCAGACGGCACGTTTGTGGGCAAGTTTGGCTCGTGCGGCAGTGGACGCGGCCAATTAGAACACCCGCATTATATCGCGGTGAGCAACACGAACCGAGTGATCGTCAGCGACGGCAACAATCATCGCGTTCAGATATTCGACGTCAACGGCCGCGTACTGACGTCCTTCGGTTCGGAGGGTTCGGACGACGGCCAGTTCAAGTTCCCGCGGGGCGTCGCCGTGGACGATCAAGGCTACATCGTCGTCGCCGATTCCGGTAACAATCGCATACAGATCTTCAGTCCGGACGGCGCCTTCCTCAAGTCATACGGCTGCTGGGGTAGCGGCGACGGCGAGTTCAAGGGCCTCGAGGGCGTAGCCGTCACCTCCACCGGCAACATCGTCGTCTGCGACCGCGAGAATCACCGGGTCCAAGTATTCTGACCGACTTTGTCGACCACTTTGTTGATCCAACGTCGGAAAAACCGCGAACTCTGCCCTTTTGCCAAACGGATACGCGCTAATTCATGATATTCGCGTTTATTAATATTATTAATGATAAGCGAGTAAAATTAAATATATCATATATCCAGGCAATGCAAATAGATCGTGTAGTTGGATATTCGGAATCGACGTCTACGAGTCTGATGAATGTGTCTGGAGTCAGGTTTCAATAACTTTGAATATTCGCATCATCTCATTCGCGTGACTTTTTTATCTGAAAAATACATATAACTAATATTTAACAAAAAAAAAAAGGTAGATAAATTAGGAAATATGAGACAAAACATGAAAAAATATTTCAATATCTTGGAAAATAAATTATTATAATCTTATACCGTTTATATATGACGTGTCGTTCTGAAAAATATGCAAAGATGAATATCGAGAATTAGAGAATTTTTTAATTTAGCAACTTTCTGTAGAGATATACAAAATTATCTTAACAAATTCATCGATAAATGGGGAGTGAGATGTCATTATAGCTTTTTTCATTAAAGAGTATATTAATATAGTATTTTATCTACAATTCTCTTTATCGGGAAACTCTCCCGTGAATCTTACATTTCCTTTCTATTGTCTGAAACGATTCTTATCGTCTGGAAATAAATCACCCGCTCTCGTACTTGTAATAAAATACAAAGAAAACTAAAATATTTGCAGAAATAACTTTTGGCGCAAACAAAATCTATTGTCACAAAAATGGCACTGATTAAATGGACTTATTTTTTATCATATAGTGAATAATTAAGGATTGATTGGTTCGCGCGTTAAATTCTAAATTTAGTTATTGACATTAAGAGATTCATATTAACGAAATTCCTCACTTATCTTCGCTAATTTTTGTGCAAAACTAAATCTCTGCTATGAAAAATAAATGAGATCCCGATTTTCAATAAAAGATTCAAATTTAATTAATAAACAATTTTTTTCTTTTGTTTTCCATTCTGTACTTCTGATATTAAGGTCGGTAACACATTATATTGGACGAAATTAACATAATATAAAAACAATAAATATTTTAAGCTTCGATGAATATTGCATTCACTTGAAGCGACACCGGATGAAGGAAATATCGAAACGAATGGAATAGTAAAAGAAAAAAAGATCTGCGAAAGCAATCATATCGACGTGCATAACAATGCGTGAATGGAATCGGACCGTTTGCTCGGCGAGTTTGATTCGAATTCTCGAGGAAAATCTTGGACGCTGGTCGATTTCCTCCGCTCAGCAGTTTCAATAATCTACATACTTTTCTTATCTTTACATCACTCACTCCCTCTAACTCTCCTCTTCTCGTGTCTGTCTCTCTTTCTTCGTACATGAGTACGATAACCGAGCGACTTAATTTAATTTATATTCAAAGCGACAGAGCAAATAAAGTTTGTACCGTTTGTATGCTTTAAATAAACTGTTGCGGAAGGAAGGCGGTAAGTAAATTTTTCCTGAACCACTTGCCTCCATCTCTTCGGAACCATTTCTGCCGCGATATATTTTTCATTCGCGCGTTCTTTGTACGAGATGTGCTTCAAACATTAGACAAAACGAGAAAGGATTATTAATTCGCGCTATGAATACGGTCGTTAAATTTAGCGGTCTGCAAAGTCCTAGTTCGGCGAACTCCCCTCGACGAACAGTCGGAACTGGGACTTTGAGCTCCTCGTGTCAATAGAAGCTCTACAAGCGACTTCAGCGACGTATCCTAAGATCATTATTCGCCTGGGTATTCCTTAACTTGCCGTAATTGTGTTACTATCCAGTTTAGACGCAACTACAACATCCAACACTTATATTAAATTAGCTCGCAATCAATATTTTATTGCAAATTGATTAGCTAAGCCAATTATCGTGTAACAAACATAACTTATTCTTCTATTTATCGAACATCTTAACAAAGTATCTACACAGATATATGAGACTATTATTTATAATAATTTACTAAAAACTTTATTATTTTCGGCGGCTCTTTTTTTATATTCCTTTATAAAAATTTTAAAATTCATAATTAAACTTGAACATTAGCGATATAATTATATCTAAAGCTTACAAGATTATCTAAATATTTGGAAAAGCCGCAAGGGAAGCGGTGAGATTGCGGAGAGATCGCAGAGAGGGAATGGGCGCAATTGAAAAGGTGAGTGAGTCAATAAATATATAATTTATTAAATGCAATGATGAAATGGTGTAACAATAGAGGGGCGGGCGAAACGGCGACCGGTGTTGGACGCCGCGAAGACGGACAAGAGATAATACGCCGCCCCCGCCCGGCGCCCTCCCGGAGATCGGAAATATAGATAAAATATTTTCGTTATTATTTACAATATTAGTCGAACGTTAGTCAATAAATAATAAACAGTGGCATAATCCCTTTATTTTAATAATATATAATTTAATTAAAATATTACAAGAGAGATGGAGCCTTTACCGTTATTCGTTTTCACTAATAAAATCTAGCACGTAAGTGCCACGTCTACACGCCGTCCTCGTACCAAAATTCTCCGGCGATTGATCTCGCGGGTGCGATATTTAGATTCCTTCGCGATATTTAGATTTCTCCCGCGAAATCGCCCGAATTTTGGAACGCGGAAACGTCGTTAGAGCGGATTGATGTCGAAACAGCCGTCGAAACCATCTCACATCAACGTTCCGAGGGAGAGAATCGCTCTCTCTCTCTCTCTCTCTCTCTCTCTCTCTCTCTCCCTATCATGGAAAAAAAAATCGACGACGGGACTGAAGAACGAATAGCAAATCAGCTCGATCCTCGGTGTTCTCGCGAGCGAGTGATCCTCGCAACGCGCAGATCGGATTATCACAACGAAAGTGCTCGCAGCATACTTGGACGTTATCAATCGAGTCGAGTTAAAGGGATTGTATGTGTTACGTGTGTATGTGTGTATGTATTTCGGTTTATAGATGTAAGTGAACGCTGCCACGCGAGACTAGGAGTTGCGTCGTGTGTCAGGATCAGGCAGGCAGCAAGCAGGTACAAAGTGACCGTCTCGACGAAGGAACAATGCGTGTCTCTGGGGTCTTTGTAATTCTGTACTTTGTTTATATCCATATGATTCTGTGTAAACTGCGGTATTTATTTATATAAATTCTCTCTCCCTCTTTTTATGTGTGTGTATGTGTCTCTTGCGTGTGATTCTGTGATATCACTGTAACTCTCTGCACTCGTCACTGTGCGATTCTGTGTGTTCCTCTCTGTGTCTCCGTGTCTGTGCGAACATGACAGAGCACCGACCCGATCGTTTCGACCCTTTCGACATCGTGACGCGTGTTCGCGCGATTGCTAGCCCGTGCCCCGCCGTTTCCTCTCGCGCCCCCGCCGCATCGCGTCGTCGAGAGGCGGACACGCGCGATAAGCTCCGGATGACCGCGTGCCAGATTTTTCGCGTTCTTTGTTTCTTTTTTTTTCATTTTGTAAAAAATATACGGAAAGAGAGATTTTTCCGCAGAATATATATCGCGGCGAGATATATGCGTCCGAGCCGCGGCGGAGCCGTTTCCCTCCGACGATCGCCACCGCCCGCGCTCTTTCTCGAAATCTCGATATTCCGTTTTGTCGTAGTGTAGTTCCGGAACTTCCGGAGATACGATTCTCGAAACGAGCGATTTGGCGGGACATAGCGAGATATCGGCGGGCTCGCGACGACGGAAATCGCGAGTTTCGCATAAACGCGCGTGTATCCCGTGCGATTCTGGAGACTGGACAAAATTGGAAATATCTCGAATCTATAGCGCGAATCTCGATCTCGTTTCCGATTTTTTTTTTTTTTATAGGAGAAAAATTAGTTCTTTTTAGTTTTAATCTCTTGCTTAATAGTCCGCTATTAAATATACCTACTGATTCGTCTCTGCGTCTAGAGAGTAGTTTGAAAAGTGGCATGAGATAGTGTGTTTTTTTTTTGTAGTGTTATAGATTTCTTTTTTTTCATTTTATTATTTCCCATTTTTGTGTTGTATCGAGATTAATTAAGTAATAAAGTTATAATTAATTATTTAATTAATTAAAGTGGCAGCAGTTAGGCCATGCGGCTCCTATCATCTAGTCGTCTTTGACTCTTGGCTTTCTTACGTAGAATTTAAAAATTTTTCTTCTTTACTTTTTTTTCTTTTTTTTTTATTAAACTTCTTTATATTTTGAGAATAATTTGTATTATATATAAATGACTTTTTTTTAAAGTTTATGTATTCTTCGAAGCGCCTACCCTAGCGATGTCTTTTTAATTAAGATTATTTTCATCAGCGGCTTTCCTCTCTTTTTCCTTCCTCTCTCTCTTTCAACCTTCAACCTAATGAGTAACCTCGCTTAGCTTGTTCATATTGTACGTGGTTAATTATGCGAATACGGAACAACGGCGAAATTCTCTCCATAGAACATTCGCGCGGTATCGGCCACTTTCTGTCCGCTATTCTACGGGTAAAAAATACTGTATTCGACTTGTCTCGTTGAAACCCCGGAAAAGCGACAGTGCACTCTGCCCTCGGTGATTTTGCACCGAGGACCTCGTCCTCTTTGCCGAGACCGCGCGCGTATCGCCGAGAAAAATCTTTGTCTTTTATCCTCGAATTCGGAATCTCTAAATTGCCACGCACAATGACACAAGCCCCGACTGATCTGAAATATTCCTAACTCGAAACTTTGTCCCTCGTCGTCGTCATCGCCTCTCTCTCTCTCATTGTCAATGCTCTCGTGCCCGCTACGTAATAATTGCTAGCACTTGTTTATAATTAGATTCTTAAATATGTAATAAGCAAAAATATGAATATATTATATATATATATATAATAATAGTTTTTGTGTGTATAATAATTATATTATTTTACTCATTTTTGTTTAAGTATTTCGATAGGATCGTGATTATTTTAATTAATTAACAATGATTAAAAGAGTGTAAGAATTTGTTATCCTTCCTCCTTTCTCCCTTCCCCGCTTTCCTTTCTCCCTTTCCGCGCGCACGCCTCTCGCATCATTTTAATAACTAATAACTTTTTAAGCTTAATGGCATGAAAATGCTCGTTGGAATTGACTCGTGTGTACAATATATATGTAAATATATATATATATATATACATCTATATATATATTTATATATATTGCAATAATATCCCACCTCGCGCGCTTTGCACTTACGTCGCACTATTAAATCTCACAACCTGCTGTGATTCTGCGTAATATACCCCAAGAGGAGAGGGTCGATATGGATTAATTACTCTCCCGGAGAAATTCGGCAATTCGAATTCGCAGTAATATACCCTTTACGTTTGCGACGCGCACAGTATCGACACATAACTCCCTTGACAGATATCGCTCGGCGATAATCACTCGATTCACCATTTATATTTAACTCTTCGGATCTCTCTGTCTGTCTGTCTGTCTATCTCCGTCTCACGTATATCACAGCGAGAATTGTCGCATGCATATACACGGAGACGTACCTACGTGTCGTGGAACACGTGTGTTTTCTATTCCCTTTTTCTTTTCTCTCTCCTCTCCGTTTCTTCCTGTCCCCCATTGCGCGGAAATACTTTCTTGGATCACCATTAATTTATCACAATAAACGTTTGTCCTCTCGATCAAAGACTTTGAACGCGAGACAATCGCGGCTTGTGCGCCGCCTTTCGCGCGTCCGCAATCAACTACGTCCTTAATTAATCGCTAATTATTTTACGCTAAAGAACCTTTAAAAAAATTCCCTATCGGAGAGAGAAACGGTAGGTAGTTTTTGTAACAATGTGTAATCGACTAGCTTACATTCTATAAAGTAACTCTACCAAGTTGATTATACTGTGACTAGCACAGCCCGTGGATGAAGTTGCGCCCTTTGGACAAAGGGCCTGTTCTATTTTTTTTCTCTTTTCTCTATTTTCTCTTGTTTTAATTCTTCTCCCTCCCCCCATTCGCCTCTAGTAGCTACCTCGTTCGTGTACTGCCGCTTTCTCCTCGTCCCATTTCTCCCCCTTTTCCTCTCGCTCTTTTCCTAAAATTCTCTAAAATCAAAGTATAATCTTTCTTATTCATTTTTTTATCTCTCGAGCAAAATGAATTTCACGAAAGATACCGATTTTCTGTGACGTAACGAACGTCAATATTCTCGCATCTAATATGTACAATGGATTCTCGATACTGCATATTATATCACGATTACGATATAGCTGAACAATAAGAAAAATGCGGTGTTCAGCTTTGTATGAAATACTTGTAAATTTAATTACTACATTTCTCGTAAAAATATGAAAAATGGACGCAGACAATAATACCGATCGAAAATCAAAAACCTAATCTTGTAATACTCTAATTGTGTTCCAATTCGTACCAAATACTCAAATTTTAAATTTTTCCCTATATATATTTGAGTCTTATTTTATCCGTCGCTAAAATATAATTCACAACTATCTTTAGAATCGATTTCATGCCGTCTTTTTATTTGCTCGATCATCTGTCAATCGACATTCGTTAACATCAACTGACTTCGAAGCCTAACTTGCGAATAAACATATATAAAATAAGTTCGGAGAAATTCAAGCTCGTTCTTTTACCTCTTTTTTTCCCAAACTCTGTTTTTCGTTGATACCATCCTAGCCACAAATTCGGGAACAATAATTGATAGACATATTAGTAAAAAAAAAAAGAAAAAATAATTGTTCCCTAGTGCAAGTGAAATTACATAGTGATCGGTAGATGTCATCGCATCGAAAAAATAAACGTAATAATCTTTGCTTGAATATTTCTTTGTGATAAAACTACGCCGACGTAAACAGTATAAAATTTTTCAGGCAAAGAAAAATTTTAACTGATTGTCCTTATTTTTTCAAGTATTTATGTATATTTACTTGTAATGTAAAAATTACGATAATATATCGAGATTTATTAATCTAATTTTTTAATACGGATTCAATGTAAATTGCAACGTAGAACGAACATGACATTTAGCTTTCAGAACTGTAAATATACAAAATTCGATCAAAATTTATGCATTCTTTATTCTCAAAAAGATTTCGAACTTGTCGACTAATGTGTCCTTAAAGAAGAAATATGTCGATAGCTGCAAAGAGCCTCGTGTGTCGCGAAGAAATATTTTATTTCAGAAAGATCTATGGATTGATAGAATCTGCCAATGGCAAGAAGCTCGTGAGAGCTATCTGAGTCTACAAAAGCGACAACGATTTTGTGCGATTCAGCTCGATGCACACACCATATGCCAATAAAATATCACGGGAACGGTTCGTCGACTACGATGCTGTTGCAAGGAGTCAACGTACGTGCCGGACGTACTTCTCGTCGTTTCTCGTGGAGAGATGCGACACGCTAGATAAATCTTACACGTTACAAGCAGAAGATAAAAAACCGTGTATCCTATAAACATGTTTCTCGATCGATCACGCGCGGATTTTTAGCAAATCCATCCCGCGATAGGTTCACCTAATCCGACGCTATTCCGATACTGACTCGTGTCGATCGGAGGAGGATACAAGAGCGCGTGGAGAAAATGCGGTAGTAGTAGTAAAGGTACATACAAGCGAAACGAACGAGCGGTCGAGGATATAAAACGCGGTGCTCCAGGTGCTTAACTCATCAGTGTGAGGGACGAAAAGTCAAAACTATACGAGATAAGACTTTAGATAGATAGATAGATAGATAGATAGATAGATAGATAGATAGATAAGTCAACCACCTCGGGTACGCAAATCAGAGACGCAGAGAATAAAGCGTGTTATCCGTGTCGTGAGCGTCTGGTACCCTTTTTCTAGTAGTTGTAGTCGTAATTGTCGCTAACGATCTCGCGCGTCGAGATCGTAGGATGAGGTATGCTCCCCTCAGAGCGTCGCGACGTCCGCGGTTCAGGTCGTCGTCGTTCATCAACGCTCTCCCTCTTTCTCTCCTCACCACCGGCCGTATATGTTACTTTGCTACCGAATTGTTGTCGCCATTCTGCGCGCCGTTGGATCGACAGTCAACTAGGTGACCCCCTGGCTGGCGGCTACTAGGCTGGCCCCTGGGCTAGATGAGGGCGAGCTTTGGGGGACAGCAGCCGCCCGTGAAGTGACCGCTGGCGGCCTCCCGTTCCCGTTTGCGACGGCCCTGGCGTTCTGCAGTCTGATTCACAAGGCAGAAACGTATGCTTTACATAAAATGCGTGTGTCCGGGCGTATCGCTCGCGCGTGAGTGCATACGTGACACCGAATGACCAGGCAGTTTTATACCGGTAATCAATCAAAGGCAAACATGTCGCATCTAAGCGGGTTCCCCGTTCAACACTTTACGTCAATTCGAGCCAACGGACAACACGAGTTAACCAACGTTACAAGCGATTAGTAATCCCGCTGTATTAGAAATTTTATTACTTGGGTATTATTTGTTGAATGCATCCATTTTTTAAACGAAAATGATAAATATGTAAACTCATACGTTATAAAATTATTTCTAGATCGATATGTGTACGAATTAAATATTTAATTAAATATTCGTAAATTAAATTTTCTTTTATTTAGCCAAAATGAATATGGGACAAGTATTGAAAAATAAATAAAGTAATGAAAAATAAATTTAATTCCGCAACTATGTACAGTTTGAATTATTCAAAATTATGATGTGCAGAAGCTACAACGGAATACAAATACTATATTTTTCAATTATCCACATATAAATATGCAACATATTTGATATATTCATCCACGAGAGTTATTGACAAAGTGGTAATCGAGGAACTCGGTAATTCTATGTCATTAAGCAACGAATACACGATTTCATTGTACAAAGACAGAAAATATATATATATACCGACGAGACATTCAAACAATAAACACGAAGCATCGTCAAACGTGATGTGAAGCACGGTCCCGATATATAGACATGTAACTCGTTAATTCGTGTGTCGTAAAACAGGGTGCAAATCAAAATTAAAAGACAGAGAAAAAGAGAGAAAGAAAGAAAGAAAAGAAGAGAGATAGAGAAAGAGAGGAAGAGAGAGAGAGAGAGAGAGAAAGGGAGAGAAAGAAAAGGAAAAACATGTAACGACAAAAGCATTTAATTCCCTCCGGCACAGAAGAGACAGGAACGAGAGATAAACGAGCACTTTTGTTTTGCCGAAACGATCGTCCTACTATGAGATACGTTACTTACCGGTCGTGAATCGTCCCACGACAAGCTGCATTAGTGACACACAGAAGAGGGAGACTTTAGAACTTTTACACTTGTCTTTTCTTTTTCGGTACGATAAAGCCTTTCGTGTGCTAACAAGAAGTCTCTACTACGTAACTAATGTGCGTGCACATCGTTGCAACAGGAAATGCAGCACTGTACACACACACGTACGGGGATACTAACTTGATCTTGGATTGCCGCATGAACTGCTGGATCTTCCGCGCGGCCTGATGAGCCGCCTGCTGATGGACCGCCTGTTGCCTCATGCTGGTTGACCCTGGCCGCGCGCGATAATTTCGATAGTTGTTCTGAATCACCAGAGCCGCTTTCGTCGCTTGCCTGTGACAAAAAATATGGCATAAAGTCTAAATATTCGAGAGAAAATAATTTGCCGATAAAACACATTGCAAAATGCATATTAAATTTTAATAAAAGTAATCGCTATCGTGCATAACAGTTTTAGAAAAAGCATTTGATAAAATAAAAAAGCTTCTCTCGAAAAGATAGAAACTTTTTTTGTTAAATTAACGCGTTCTTTGTTCTTCGACGAATGATAGCCAAAGTTTGCCGCACGCTCAATATCCTTCGTTATTTCTCGCAACTTGTGTTTCCGCGAAGATTCTACAATGACAATGTACAGTCAACTGATTGTGTCACTAATTTCGGAGACATTACTAGAAAGTTTGAATCACTACGTATATAACTTGCGGCGAACGCGAGGAGGAAGATGAGGAACGAGGGGTACGCCGGTCTCCATCTTCAACAAAAGTCGTATTAATTTAATGCCAAGTTAATTCTGTATTCAGGCCACCGTAACGAAAGCAGAGAAGTCCGTAAAGTTTCCGAATTATTTACGATGCCAATTAAAAGTTCGCCCCGAGAGAGAAAGAGAGATAGAGAGAGGTACACGAGTCGAACTTTGGTGGCATCAGTCTAATTCAGTCGGAGGTCGTTAAGTTGGCCCACAATGGTACGTCTTGTCTCCCGGTTATTAATTGTCGCATATTAAGATGTCCCCTTCCCCTCCCCCTTCTTTCCACGACCAGCGGAATATCGATGGAAATTTAACTTTGTAAGTTCGAAGCTATTTGGCGGTGTCTGCGAGATAACGATCTGTCATACTTGGGAACCTTGAGTTCAACCTGATAACACGCGCCCGCATAAACTATGGACGATCTGTATCTAAGCGTTGCATGCATCGCATGAAGTAGCTAGTACTATTATAGCCCGACAACGCGAGTGATTCATTCCGTTCTTAAGGAAACTTTCTAAATGAAGGATGCTCGATAACATGCAAAATGACAAAAAGAAAGACAAGTATTTAACTGCGTAAAATGAACTGCTAATTCTTTGAATATATATGAATAAAAAAATATGAAAAAATATAATATAACATAATAAAAATATATAACAAATCTGCCAACACACACAGATTCTCAGGATGCCTTGCAAGCGATAAACGAAAGTTACCTGTGATAAGCGTACTGTTTATGACGACGGTAATATTGTTGAATCAGAACGGCGGCGTGTCTCTCAGCTTCCTCTTGCCTCTGGCGACCCTTGTAGTTTCTGTACGCCTTCTGGATCATCCTAGCGGCGTGATAAAGCTCTCTTTGCTCGCGATCGGACAATGTCAACCTGCTCAGATCCGCCTCGCTACCGCCGTCGCTCGTAGCTGACAGAGCACCGGAACCGAGCATGCCGTTCAACCTGCGCTCGCCGCCATTCGGCGAATAGTATGTACGACCGTTGTGTGCATTGCCGTTGCCGTCGAGATGCAGCTGCAGCTGCAGAAACTCGCAGAAATCGGCCGTGGTGGGCGGCGGGGACGGCGAGTCCGGTGTCAGGCAACTGCTGGAGGGACTCGAGGGACTGGCGTCTGCGTCGGCGTCCGAGATCGACGCGGCGCCGCCGTTGCTTTCCGCGAAGATTCTACAATGACAATGTACAGTCAACTGATTGTGTCACTAATTTCGGAGACATTACACTGGAAAGTTTGAATCACTACGTATATAACTTGCGGCGAACGCGAGGAGGAAGATGAGGAACGAGGGGTACGCCGGTCTCCATCTTCAACAAAAGTCGTATTAATTTAATGCCAAGTTAATTCTGTATTCAGGCCACCGTAACGAAAGCAGAGAAGTCCGTAAAGTTTCCGAATTATTTACGATGCCAATTAAAAGTTCGCCCCGAGAGAGAAAGAGAGATAGAGAGAGGTACACGAGTCGAACTTTGGTGGCATCAGTCTAATTCAGTCGGAGGTCGTTAAGTTGGCCCACAATGGTACGTCTTGTCTCCCGGTTATTAATTGTCGCATATTAAGATGTCCCCTTCCCCTCCCCCTTCTTTCCACGACCAGCGGAATATCGATGGAAATTTAACTTTGTAAGTTCGAAGCTATTTGGCGGTGTCTGCGAGATAACGATCTGTCATACTTGGGAACCTTGAGTTCAACCTGATAACACGCGCCCGCATAAACTATGGACGATCTGTATCTAAGCGTTGCATGCATCGCATGAAGTAGCTAGTACTATTATAGCCCGACAACGCGAGTGATTCATTCCGTTCTTAAGGAAACTTTCTAAATGAAGGATGCTCGATAACATGCAAAATGACAAAAAGAAAGACAAGTATTTAACTGCGTAAAATGAACTGCTAATTCTTTGAATATATATGAATAAAAAAATATGAAAAAATATAATATAACATAATAAAAATATATAACAAATCTGCCAACACACACAGATTCTCAGGATGCCTTGCAAGCGATAAACGAAAGTTACCTGTGATAAGCGTACTGTTTATGACGACGGTAATATTGTTGAATCAGAACGGCGGCGTGTCTCTCAGCTTCCTCTTGCCTCTGGCGACCCTTGTAGTTTCTGTACGCCTTCTGGATCATCCTAGCGGCGTGATAAAGCTCTCTTTGCTCGCGATCGGACAATGTCAACCTGCTCAGATCCGCCTCGCTACCGCCGTCGCTCGTAGCTGACAGAGCACCGGAACCGAGCATGCCGTTCAACCTGCGCTCGCCGCCATTCGGCGAATAGTATGTACGACCGTTGTGTGCATTGCCGTTGCCGTCGAGATGCAGCTGCAGCTGCAGAAACTCGCAGAAATCGGCCGTGGTGGGCGGCGGGGACGGCGAGTCCGGTGTCAGGCAACTGCTGGAGGGACTCGAGGGACTGGCGTCTGCGTCGGCGTCCGAGATCGACGCGGCGCCGCCGTTGCAGTCGCGATACGAGTCGAACAGTTCTCCGGAGTCGAGAGGCTATAAGCAGGACGATTAGCATGGAAATTGAGTTTTACAACAGGGAAACCCAGACGGATCGGCGTCCCATTTGTCGAGACTCTAATACCGCGCGCGTTCAAAGTTTTAATCTTAATTATGATTCAGGACGGAGTCTAATGACTGCGCTATTCCTTTGATCGTAGAACGTGCAAAAACTTTACCATACTCGGGCAAATTTTAATGTTCCAATTAATCATTTGTACGATTTCTTACGTGCATTTAATCTATTTGGAAATTAAGATAGATTATAATAACATATCATTTCGACATGTAAAATATTTCAATTATTAATAACAATATTTCAATTATTAATAACAAATGTGAAATATATTTACCATTTGTTCCATCAGAGCGTCTTCTAAGGGTGACAGAGGTGCCGTGAGTGGCGGTGGCGAAGAAGAAGACGGAGAATCACCCTCCGCCCTCTTGATCCTTTCCGGTAGCGCAGCTATAATTTGCTCTGCCAATGTCAGCACCCTCGCGTCTTCCTCCCCTATAAAAAGGAATCACCACCCTAGCCAAACTCGAAAAGTTCGTAATAGCAGGCCGCCGAAATCACATCGATCACAACACCGACAGTTTAAAAGCCGTGAGCGTGTTCTACGATCCACCGGGATGCTGTCGCAATGTCAGATTAAAATGCTTAACACCAACAAGTGTGCCGCTACGACACTAATTGACAACTCAAATTAGACAAGTCACCGGTGAATAATAACGCTTTTCTACTCGATGAAAGTCTTTGTAAGGTAACCTCAGGCAGCCCAGCTGTGCGATACGTCCACATCGGTCGGCTGAACAGATCGCGCGTCTGTTCAACTACATAGTTTATAATCGTTATACTGCCGTTTTTCTTAAAGATTGCACGCACTCGAGATTATTGTCACTCGAGAACAGGCTTCAATAGCCAGACAATAGGCAGTGGCTAATAAAGTTTAGATATTATACAGCGATTCATTTAACACCAGCAGTTACGAAGGCCAAGCAACACCAAATATTTTTCAAGCTGTAAGAGTTCAGAAGAGTTAGAGAAGGCAGCGTGATTGCCGACCGCACACACACAGAGAGAAAAAGAACACTGTTGTACGCGTATAAGTGTGTTGTGTAAAAAGTGTATGTATGTGTGTCTGCGAACAAGGGACGCAGCTAGGATCTCTACGCAGTCCGCGTAATTGTAATAGTATATACGTCTAGGCCGATCTGTTCTATCGGTAGTGTGTCACAGAGAATAGACAGAGTTACGGATAGTTTTTACAGACAGGCAGACAGACAGACAAATAGAAGAGGAAAACGAGGAAGGTACGGACCTACGGTCTCCTGAGGGGTCGGAGCGCTCTCCATTCCCTGTTCGCTGAGGCCTAACGACGACTCATCCTCTTGCAACAACTCCATGTTGTCCAGCAGCGGCGAGCCACCTGTGTATTTTTCGATAAACCCCACTTAATGCTAATAGACGTTGCCTAATTTATTACGCTCGCATGATTTTCGGCCTTTTTGTGACTCTACTTTTACTGGGTGCAGGAAGGAAGAGGAAAAAGGAAGAATATAGGCGCTATATAGAGGCTAGCGGAAAAGGGAAAAGTGTGAATATACGTGTATAGATACGTGAATGTGTATGTGTCTTTGTATGTGCGCGTGTATACGGAAGAGAGGGCAGTATAATAGCAAACGAGACTAACACAACGCCAGATCGAGACCGCTGTCTTGAGATGGCCTCCTGGGGCTAGGGCTGGCGGGTCGCAAGAAGAGCCTCTCGTCTTGCCTTCGGGCTTCGAGCTGATTCAGTTCTTCGGCAATTGCCACGTGGCCGTTTTCTGCGGCCAATTCGGTCGCCGTTCTATTCTGACAGTCCCTCACGCGAAGCGCCATAGCGTTCCATCTGCGAAAGGCACAATGTCAACGAGAAATATTTATTAAAAAATTATTAAAGATTCTTAAAAATAATACAATAATTTTACGTATCATTAAAATAATTATTAAAAATTATTTTAATGATATGTAAAGCTTGCAAGCCGTACAAATTGCAATTTTTGTCATAAATTTATAATAAATCTATTATTATTCATCAGTAACGTTATTAACATTAAATGTTGTTTCAGGATAAATATGATTTTTCACGAACCTGTAAAGAATCCTGGCGGTGTCGGCATGTCCTGCCGCGCAAGCCCAAGCAAGCGGCGTGAGACCGGCGCTATCCTGCCTGAGAGCATCGACCTCGGCATCCAAAACGCTACTAGGATTTTCCGCTCTCCAGTGAAGGAGTGCACAGGCTAACCTGGAGTATCCCAATCCGGCTGCCAGATGCAGAAGGGTAGGCCCACCGGATTGAAGAGGTTCCGCTCCAGCTCGCCAAGGACGGACAACAGCATCCTGCAATATTTCACGCCGGAACTTTATACGCTGTAACTTATTAAATTATATCTATCGTGTCTAAGATTAAAATTAGAGCTCAATGATCGATATGAAAATTTCAAATAATTCTTAAAGTACCTGGCAATAAGCAACCAGTCGCTCTTCCAGATGTGCTGCGGGAGACGGCGGACCGGGACCCTGCAAACGAGCCTCGACGTCCGCAAGGCGGTCCAGCAGAGCTTTCTCTGGGCTAGGTTCGCTCGTCGGCGCTCTACGATATTCAAAGGCGACGCTATCGGACACAACGAAACCGTCGCACGCCACTTGAAGGGACGCTATTCCTGGTGCGTGCGCGGGACATCGACAGCGCAGTACACCTGGTTGCACGAGGCACGCCTCAACCGGTTCCGCGTCAAAAAGTACCGAATACGATTGAGAACCACTACCGCCGGTCCATGGACCAGCAACTAATACCTGGAGAATGTTATAAAGTAAATTATCGTTTATTAATTTTTGAATATATTGTATTTTTTATATTATAGAAATATTACTATTCTCTCTTTCTTTTATTAAAAAATT